TTTTTAAATGGTCAAAATTTATATAGATTTTTATAACCCCTGCAAACAAATTAATTTTTATGGGGGGATCAGTTTATATATCATGTATATAGTTGTATTGTTTAACTTTTTTGCTTCAATCATATTTATAATGCAAGTGTCATGTTGCTCATCAAAGAAGCTTAATTAGAGCTGTGCATACAGTTGTTTGTTCAACACTGATGTTTTCAAGAAGATCATGCTATTGGTCCTTGACCAGACATGTATGATATAATGTGGCATATTCTTTGTTCAAAAAGCTTTTTAAATGGTCAAAATTTATATAGATTTTTATAACCCCTGCAAACAAATTAATTTTTATGGGGGGATGGGGGGAATGGTATAGTAATCACCCTATTCATTCGTTCGTCTTTACATGAAATTGCGACTCTATCTAATGGGCTGGATGGATATTGATAAAACTTTCTTGAGTTGGAGAACACTTCCTGACATGCTGACTATGTTCATAAACATTATAAAAGAATATAATTTGGTTTTATGTGTAAAAAGTTGGAGATAGTACTTAACTTCAACATTGCAATACGTGTTTGTGTATTTGCAGTAAAACATGTACAATGTAATATTGTAAGGGCGGGTATCCTATTGTGAATTCACTTAGTTTTAGTTTTTGGGTACTTTCATGACATATAATTTACCATATTTACATGTAGCCTTTGTTCATAATATTTTTAAATCTTCCAGTAACTTACAGATAGGATCAGATCTTTGACATATACATGTAATTAAATTGTTCATGTTGTAAAAATGTCCAGATAAAAATCATTCAAAGGATGGACAGTTGTTAATATACTTTGTACATAATGATAATGTCAAATGACATTTGAACTTGTGTACCTATGTCTAACCCACAATTGTATTGACAGATCCCTAACATTGTCTTAACATTTGTCTTATGACCTTCAAAAGCCAAGATCACATGGTCTTGATCCTTGGTGATGATTTGGAAGCCTGTTTTAATTTTCTTTTTATAAGCCTTTTCTTTTAATATGCAGGCTTACATTAAAAGAAAAGTTAGTCAAATGCGTTTTGTTAAAATATACTTTTTCACTTTTTGGTCTTTTGGAAAATGTTGTTTGTGCTGTATTTAGACCCCTCTACCAAGAAATTTGTTTTGCATGCACACGTATAAAAATTGAGGTTTTTATCCAATGCAATCATAGGTTTGAACGTTGTTTTCAATTTAGACTGGTTTATATTTTTATACGACCGCAAAAAAAATTTTGTGGTCGTATATTGGTATGACGTTGGCGTCGTCGTCGTCGTCCGGCGTCGTCCGAAGACACATTGGTTTTCGCACTCTAACTTTAGTTTAAGTGAATGGATCTTTATGAAATTTTACCACAAGGTTCAATACCACAAAAGGAAGGTTGGGATTGATTTTGGGGGTTATGGTAATAACAGTAAAGGAATTAGGGGCCAAAAAGGGGCCAAAAATAAGCATTTTTGTAACTTCCAGACATAACTTGTGTGTTAGTGTATGGATCTCTCTGACATTGTACCACAAGGTTCCATATCACTAAAGGAATGCTGGGATTGATTTTGGGGGTAATTGCCTCCAAATTTTAGGAATTAGGGGCCAAAAAAGGGGCAAAAAACAAGCATTTTTCTAGTTTCATGACAATAACTTGTGTGTAAGTGTATGGATCTTTCTGAAATTGTACTACAAGGTTCCATATCACAAAGGGAAAGCTGGGTTTGAGTTTGGGGGTAATTGCCCTAAACGTCTAGGAATTTGGGGCCAAAAAGGGGCCAAAAAACACATTTTTTTCTAGTTTCCAGACAATAACTTGTGTTCAAGTGTATGGATCTCTCTGAAATTGTACTGCAAGGTACCATACCACAAAGGGAAGGCTGGGATTGAGTTTGGGGGTGATGAATCATAATGGGGGTTCAAAAAATTTTGGGGGGGGATTTATTATTTTTCCTTTTTTTTCTTTTTTTCCTTTTTTGTTTCTTTTAAAATTTTCCATTTTAAGTTGGTTATTTCTGATTTATATTTAAAATCAAATAATAATGATATGGTAGGAGATACACACCAAACAGGATGTGTAAATTATTATATAATAAGTATTGTGCAATAGCAAGAAATTTTCAATTGCACAGTATTGCACAATAGCAAGAAATCTTCAATTGCACAGTATTGCGCAATAGCAAGAAATCTTCAATTGCACAGTATTGCGCAATAGCAAGAAATATCCAATAGCACAATATTGCGCAATAGCAAGAAATTGTCAATTGTACAGTATTGCGCAATAGCAAGAAATATTTAATAGCACAGGATTGTGCAAAAGAAGATACTTCCTATAAATTGCTTATTTCTTGACCAATTTCAATGGGGTTTTATTCTTGATTTCATGGGGTTCTTTAATATGCTGAATCTAACCGTGTATTAAGTTTTTGGATTTTGGGCCCCGTTTTTAAATTGGTCCACATTGAGGTCCAAAGGGTCCAAAATTAAACTTTGTTTGATTTCATCAAAAATTGAATTATTGGGGTTCTTTGATATGCCGAATCTAACTGTGTATTTAGATTCTTAAATTTTGGTTCCGTTTTCAAATTGGTCTACATTAAGGTCCAAAGGGTCCAAAATTAAACTTAGTTTGATTTTAACAAAAATTGAATTCTTAGGGTTCTTTGATATGCTGAATCTAAACATGTATTTAGATTTTTGATTATGGGCCCAGTTTTCAAGTTGGTCCAAATCGGGGTCCAAAATTAAACTTTGTTTGATTTCAACAAAAATTGAATATATGGGGTTCTTTGATATGCTGAATCTAACCATGTATTTAGATTTTTGATTTTTGGGCCCCGTTATCAACTTTGTCCACATTGAGGTCAAAAAGGTCCAAAATTAAACTTTGTTTGATTTCATCAAAAATTGAATTATTGGGGTTCTTTGATATGCCGAATCTAACCGTGTATTTAGATTCTTAATTTTTGGTTCCGTTTTCAAATTGGTCTACATTAAGGTCCAAAGGGTCCAAAATTAAACTTAGTTTGATTTTAACAAAAATTGAATTCTTAGGGTTCTTTGATATGCTGAATCTAAACATGTATTTAGATTTTTGATTATGGGCCCAGTTTTCAAGTTGGTCCAAATCGTGGTCCAAAATTAAACTTTGTTTGATTTCAACAAAAATTGAATATATGGGGTTCTTTGATATGCTGAATCTAACCATGTATTTAGATTTTTGATTTTTGGGCCCCGTTATTAACTTTGTCCACATTGAGGTCAAAAGGGTCCAAAATTAAACTTTGTTTGATTTCATCAAAAATTGAATTCTTGGGGTTCTTTGATATGCTGAATCTAACCATGTATTTAGATTTTGGATATTGGACCATAATAGGTGAATGTCCAATTTAAAATTTTTAAGTTCTTAGACCACATTCAATCTGTGTTAGAAACCTATGCTGTGTCAAATATTTAATCACAATCCAAATCCAAAGCTGTATCAAGCTTGAATGTTGTGTCCATACTTCCCCCAACTGTTCAGGGTTCGACCTCTGCGGTCGTATCAAGCTGCGCCCTGCGGAGCTTTTTATTTCGTTTGGGCTTGTATTATATTTTTCCTTCTGGTTTATATGATCCGTTCATCCTATTTCGACTCTTCACAATTCAAGAGTCTATCCTAAATTCTGGTAAATTATATGGCCTTCCAAATACTGTTTAGATTCCTAACATCACTGAAGAGACATTAATTGTCGAAATCCGGATATGGTGTACAAATTTTTGCACTTCATATTTGCGGTATACCATCTTTTCCGCAAGTTTATTTTTTTTCTGTTTGGTATTAAATTAATAATTAAGATCCATTTTGTTACATCTTGTGATATATTTATTTGGCAATCACCATGGCAGTCAGCAGGGTTTAAGAACATCAGTTGTTTTACCTGTTAGTCAAATGCATTTTGTTAAAATATACTTTTTCACTTTTTGGTCTTTTGGAAAATGTTGTTTGTGCTGCATTTAGACCCCTCTACCAAAAAATTTGTTTTGCATGCACACGTATAAAAATTGTGGTTTTTATCCAACACAATCATAGGTTTGAAAGTTGTTTTCAATCTAGACTTGTACATGTATGTACAAATTTATTATATTTTGTTAGTCTTACAGTGTACATCTAAAGATATTTTTATACCCCCCTCCCCTTTAAAAAAGTGGGGTATACTGTTTTACCTCTGTCTGTCCATCCGTCCCATGAATATTTTTCATCGCATCTTTTTCAGGAACTACATTACAAGGAATTCTGAAATTTGGTTTCATGGTTTATATGAGACAGCCATATCGTGTGATGCGTTTTCAGATTCATCACTCAACAACTTCCTGTTTATCTTATACTTTTAGCGGAGTGGGGGTATCATTAGTGCTCAAGCAGTAGCTCACAGATTCACTTGTTGTATTTGCATGTGTGAGTACTAAATGTATTTAAAACTCATAAATAGTTGCTTAGCTAGGTATGAGTCGAACGACACAGAATATGCAGAAACTTAAAGAGACAATTCTCAGGGTTCTTTTAAATACACATAGATAAGTTCTGAACTTTCCATTTTGGCTGGGCTCACTAAAATTTCTCAATTTGGGTCTCACCCAAGAAAATTCAGACATGACCAAGTACTGAGTACTCTGAATTCTGTACTGATGAAATATTCTTCAAATGCAAATACAAAGTTTAAAAACTAGAACTCAGTCTTCAGGCTTCATTTGTATTTGTTTAGAACTTGACTTTAAAGGTGATGGAAATCCTAAAGCTTATAGAAATAGATGGAAATCATAGTACATTTGTGATTTTGATCTGTATAATTTCAGGTAACTAGGCTGGCTTGGTGATGCCAGGTGTAACCCCACAAGGGATGGACTATTTAACATGTACCTTATAATTTCAGGTAACTAGGCTGGTCTGGTGATGCCAGGTGTAACCCCATATGATATGGACTATTTAACATGTACCTTATAATTTCAGGTAACTAGGCTGGCCTGGTGATGCCAGGTGTAACCCCACAAGGGATGGATTATCACCACAACTATGGAGGAATGAAGTAAGTATTCAGTCAGCAGAGTTGGTTTCGTTTTTAGATTAAATATGACATACTGGTAATATGATTTCTGTACACACAAAACACCCTTCAGGAATAACCTGTATCAGTAAGGGTTATTACCACAAGTTTGGAACTCAAAAATATAAAACAGGAGGGAGAGCCCCAAAACCAAAAGAGCCAAAAAAAAAAACAGCCACAACAATCTTAGGTCAACTTTGCAAGTGGGAGGTGCAAATTGTATTACAGAAAAAAATACACATATGTATGCAGAATTGTATAGAATTCTATAGTTTTCAGAATTAAACAAACTAATTATACTGTGCTTATATCATTTAGGCTGTGTCTTCATCTGAACTGATCACAGTGGTAATTTATGTGAGCTAGAAACCAAAAAGTGGCCTTAAAAGTACCTTATGCTACTTAAGGCAACATTGCCTGAGGCAGCTGAATGAAATCTTAGTTATAAAAAACTGACACTTTTTTATCAACTTAAACAGAATATATATAAATATCATAAACGTAACAAAATGTTATCCTAGTACTAAAGCACTTCTAATGGATGTACGATACCCTAAGTAGGACTATCCAACAGCAGTGGTCTCAGCCCAGTTAATTCAATATTAAGTCGTACTAAATTTGTTTGATTAAATGTGCTTTGGAATTGTTGATTAGGGTATAGAAATATGGTCACCTGGACTTTTCCCATTAGAAAGCCCTTTAAAAAAAAGGCCATGCTTGTGTTTCAGTTTGACTCTGCTGGATAGATCAACAATCGGCTAGGTTCACTGAGTTTGTTTGATGTATTGTGTAGGATGATTGCCACTGTCTCTGCAAGTAAATGAACCTTTTGGAGACAACTCTTTTAAGACAAAACTTTAATTTGTTTTTGTCCTAGATAAGCACAAAATATTTGTAACTGGACTTTAGCAATCTTCAATCAATCATATCTATTAATTAAGCCATAATAGCCATTGACTATAGTGTTTTGTATCAGTGTCCAATTCCTGATATCAGAGAAAAATTCTGCATCTACTTTGTTTTTCATTTTGTAGTTCATACATGTAATTTAATTAGGCACATGAATATTCAAATATTCCATGTTGATTGGCACCCATTGCACTAAAAAAACAGGGTTGGGCTTAAACATGTTTGCTGTATATCATATTTTGTTTTAATTGTTTTGTACAGAAATCAGGCCGTTAGTTTTCTTGATTGAATTGTTTTACATTTGTCATTTCGGGGCCTTTTATAACTTGCTAAGTAGTATTGGTTTTGCTCATTGTTGAAGGCCATACAGTGAACTATAGTTGCTAATATCTAGGTCATTTGGTCTTTGGTGGAGAGTTGTCGCATTTGCAATCATACCACATCTTCATATTTTTCATATGCTTTAAAGTTTTAGCCTAAATTTATACTGATCAGTAATCTGAGCAGTAAAATTCAAGGTGAAAATTTCTTTATGTTCATCATTTTTATGAAGTCTAAAGTGTGAACAAGATGTTACTTTGATGATAGCTTGCGGGAACAGGTAATCCATAAATCAGTTATACTGTATAGTTGACAGTTTGGGTGTGTTTACAAACAAAATGTCACTGATAAAAGTCTGGGTCAATATTGGACCACATGCAGATCAAACTTCTTTAATAAGGGATATTTTCTCAATATACACAAACAGGGTGGAGGATTTTATCAATGAAATGATTTAATCATGGGTATCATAAAATTACCTGTGGCTTTGCATTATGTGTCTGTAATGGTATAATTTTATATACAGGAAGTTCAACACTGTGTGAGTGAGTGCATGCATTATATTGATTAAAATGCCTTAGTTTCCATTGCCCTTTCCTCCATGGAGATTTTTATGCCCCCGCTAAAAATAATCTACCAAAAAAAAAAAAGGAAAAAAGGACTACAGCAATTTAAAACAAAATCATCACATTTAAAATAATACATGGTGAAAAACAAGTTTCTGAAGAAATTCATGTGAGTTATTCCCCAAGTCTATACTTTTTATATTGGATAAAAATTTGATGTCTGATACAGATATTCGAAGGCAAGCAAGTATTTCAACTGTGGTACCACAAAGGAGGCATCATTATGCAGGAAAAGGTTAATGAAAATGCAAATTTGAATAAATATAAATATCCAAATTGTGTTACTGAATCATGAATATACTGTAAATATTGCTTTCATAGTATTTAACTTCAGCTAAATAAGCGTAACTAATTGAATAAATTGAGTGACTTATTTATCTTATACTTTCCCAATCAGGTCTTTTATTGGGACGAGAAAATCAACCTGAGTGATTCCTGATTTTTTTTTTTACAATTTTTTGACAGTCATAAAAAGTGTTTTAGTCTTCAGTTAAAGTGGTCTCAATCTGCTTCATTAAATGTTTATATAAATATATTAATAAAAATTAACATAGATAAACAAGTAGGTAATTAGTATTAAATTAGGAGATGTGGTATGATTGCCAATGAGACAATTGCAACTATATATCCAACTAAGTCCAAATGAAGCAGATTTAAGCAACTATAGGTCAACATATGACCTTTAACAATGAGCAAAACCTATACCATTTAGTCAGCGATAAAAGCCCCAGACATTACAAAATGTGAAACAATTCAAAGGAAAAGATCAATAGGCTTATTTAAGACAAAAGAAAGGGAGAACAAATATGATAAACATCAACCAAAGACAACCACTGAAATAAAGGCTCAAGACTTGTTTTTCGGAGGATGCATTTTCATGGACCATATATATTCATAGGTGAACTTGAAGTTTTATGAGTAGATACGGTTTTCAAATACTATAATTATAAGGTCATCTACATTTGGTGTTTAGAATGATTTTAAGGTGTACAAGTCCGTCTAACGGGTAATGTGACCTTGACCTTATTTTGCATGTGCACCCTTGTTTTCTCTTTTTCTGTAAAAGTTTTATTCTTATTCAGATTTTAAATTTCAGTTAATTCTTTTTACCAGCCACTTGTTACTCTGTATAAGGCTATTACTGCATTAAATAAAGGGAGTTTGCTAAAGAAATATTTTGAGTCATAGGACCGTGCTCTTTAATAAAATATGAAAAAACAAAAGATATCTATATTCATAATACAAGATAGAGTACCCACTAAATAAAAGTTGCATCATTTTGAGAATAAACAGATGTGTGATTTTTAAGGTAGATGTACACACAATTGACATACATAAAATCTGTGTGGACAGGAGGACCAGGCTATGTTTGAATGACAATAAATGAAACGTAGGATGTAATGGACAGATCAAAGTTACATTTGATTTAAGAAAAGTCCATAAACATGTGCTTTTATTGTAATGTTTTCTTTCGTGGTACAAATGTATTATAAATACATGTTTATAAAAGTCATAAGAAAATAAAACAACCTTTTTATAATGTCATCTTCCTGTATTTCAGTGGGCATGGATCAGGAGGTTATGGCTATGGACCAAGGTAGGATCTCTACATATAACTCAGTCGTCCTGAACATGCATGAAATATTTGCCACTGGGCATTAAGCAACCAACAATCAATCACTTATGATGGGCAAAATGTCTGACTTTAGCAAGAATTTTACTTAAGGTTGACAGACATTGAAATTATTGTCGATGCACTGATTTTCAGTTTTAAACATTACTAATATTTTTCATTTATTATTTTTCCTAATTGAAATTCTGTTATACAGTCTATTCTTTTGACATTTCATAAAAAATTGATTGTGTTTTTTCTGATCATGATAATGCTTCAAGTAGGAGTTCAGCTGCCAATATTAAGAGTTTAATGTCAAGGAACAGTAAATGGCTGTACTTTGACCTATAATGGTTTACTTTTACAAATTGTGACTTGGATGGAGAGTTGTCTCATTGGCACTCATACCACATCTTCTTATATCTATATGACACAGATTTTTGGTAAAATTTTGCATACACCTTTGGCACTTTGAACTATTACTGAAAATGGAACAAATAATATTTCACTTTTATTTTCTGCAATTGAATTGAATGAAATCTTACAAAGTAAAGGCTCATTTACATTATTTAGATAACAAATAAAACTGGTGAAATATGTTTTAAGTTTGTCTTGAAATCATCAAATCTCCAATTACCAAGTCCAATGCATGGTTTTTTCTTAGAAAATCAATGTTTTTGTTTTTTATTATGTAAAGTAATAATAGGATATCCAACTTTTTCCACACCACATCATTCAAAGTATATATATATATATTTGGATAAAAACCGCAATTTTTATACGTGTGCATGCAAAACAAATTTCTTGTTAGAGGGGTCTAAATACAGCACAAACAACATTTTCCAAAAGACCAAAAAAGTGAAAAAGTATGTTTTAACAAAACGCATTTGACTAACAGGTCGAACAACAAATGTTCTTAAACCCTGCTGACTGCCATTGGCGATTGCCAAATAAACGGATCACCGATGTAATAAATGGATCTTAATTACAAATTAAATACTAAACAGAAAACAATAAACTTGCGGAAAAGATGGTATACCGCAAATCAAAGGTGCAAAGGTATTTGTACACCATATCCGGATTTCGACAATTAATGTCTCTTCAGTGATGTTAGGAATCGAAACGGTATTTGGAAAGCCATACAATTTACCTCAATTTGGGATAGACTCTTGAATTTTGAGGAGTCAGAATAGGATGAACGGATCATATAAACCCGAAGGCAAATATAATACAAGCAAAAATATATATATATATATATATCAAAGGAAATTTTTTTGATCAACAACATATCAATTTTTAAGACAAATCTATGCATTAGTTTTAGAGATGTGATGATTTTAAGAACATTTTTCATAGATTTTATGTGCTTTCTATCTACCATACTAAAGATATTCACTATTTTTTGAAATAATTTTTTCAGTTATATTTCAGAAATTAAACATATAACATGTATAAGTGCATTTATTGATTTTGAGTTCAAAGTATAACATTACTACAGCTGTATGCAAAATTTGACACAAATCTGTGACCTTATCCGTAATCTGATCCTTATAGAGCAGGATTTCTAGATCAGCAGATTAAATATTTTAAACAAACTTTCAGTAACTGTGAGCATTCCTTGTATATTGTTTGACTTTAATCTTCCTAGACCATGTGGACCATGTTGCTGTATTTTTTGTCATACCTAGATATGGATAATATTAAATTCAGAACTTTTTCTGAACTTTCATTTATTGCATTTTCATCTATATACCCTTTGTTAATTTAGTGATAGAGATTTAAAATGGGGGAATTGATAACTCATAAAATTAATCTATCTTGAACTTAGTATCTTTGTTGATTCAGGAAGACTGTGTTGATAACTTTGGTATTCTTTTGAGTTTTGATTCAGGACTATTGAGAGCAAGCCAAGTATAGACAATTGTCTATTGTTGAAGACTGTACATATATGTATTGTTCTTTATTTGGTCCCTAAATGCAGGAATCACCTATTATGAATTTTAATTAATTAATAACAGATAGTGAATTGGCATTCTGGTAAAAAAAAAATATTGTCCTTGCATAATCTAAAGCCAATCAAAATTAAACATTTAAATGATCATTGATGATGTAGGATTTTGTTTTTTTGTAAACTTTCATTGTTGGGTGGTTATTTCTGGAATGTTTACCTCGCATGCCCTGTGAATTGTATTTAAACAAATATTATGACGTGTGGAGGTCAGTTCTGTTTTGCATGCGATGGTACATTTTATATTGACTGAGTGATGGTACTTATTTTGCAGTATTTTTCAACCTTGACCCCTGACCAGTATTGTGATAATTTATATATGTTTTTGATAATTGTCATGTTAAGCGAAATTATCACAAAACTTCACATGATAAACAAAAAGTTAATATTATATCTGAATATTTGAACCTTCAGTACATACAACAGTGCTCCACCCTTATCGACTTATCGTGAATCTGAGTTCGGTTTATCTGAAAGGTGAGTAATATCTCGTGGGGAGTTTACATTTAGATTAGATACTGATTTTTTACTTCTCTTTTCTGGATAAACTTTTAATTGTTGCTTAGAGTGGTTACTTTCACTTTGGTGTTTGTTGTTTTTTTTCCCTCATGCTTAGGTTTTCTAACAGCAACTGAGCAAGGATTTTGTTTAACTGTTATTTCTAATCTTGTGTGGGATTCTTTAAAGTAAGCATTTCAAAACTAACAAAATTCTAGTACCAGTGATGTCAGTTTGATGTGCTAAATGACATGAATGAGTTGTTTTTGTTTGAGTCTTGATACAAGTTTTCAAATTTTGAACATGCATAGAAACGGAGAACCTGTTAACTGGAAATGTTGTTAATTATTAAGTCCTTATTTGATTTAACTGCTGTTTACCATACAAATTAGTATTGTTACTTTGTACAAGGAAATAAAATATGATATCAACATAATAAATTCATGTTTTGTTGAAATCATTTAAAGTTAAAATAATGTGCCTGCGCTAATTGCATAACAATAATAGTTTTGTTATGAGTCAAGATCTTGTTGATATGGTTAACTAGTAGTATATGGTAATACATGTATTATATTGAACAGTTTGAATGTTTGTGATCAGTAGCGGATGACATTTATGCAATTCTGAATTGAATGAATGAATTGTCATAAAATTTCATAATTTTAATGTAACTTTAATTTCATTTTATCGTATGTGCTTACTTGTATGTTAAATATGTATATATATTATACATTACATTTGTTGACATCAGATTGATACAGACTGAATATTTGAACCATTAATTGAGAAATTACGTGCAAAAGTCTTAACTATGCATTTTGAAACGGTGTCCAGTTGATTACATTTGTCTGATATTGTATAAATACACGATAATGTTAAATTCTATAAAACTTAGCTCATAGGTGTACATGGTGTACATGTGTATAATTGCACACTTTTATATTAGATTAATGAATCAGAACTCCTTATTGTAGGAATGGCTACGGAGGACCTGAAATAGGTAAGTTTATCATTTTACAGTAAGTAATTTACACATACAAATAGCAATGGTAGACATGAATAAGAAAATATTCAAAATACATCAATGTAGCCATCACCAAGATTACCATTGGTTGTTTCAAAATGACCGTATTGTATGGACTTATGAATGATGCAATACTGCAGGGGAGGGGATTTGATAAAGTAAATAAACTGAATGTCAATCCTAATGAAAGGCAACTTACATATATATGTATCTGTGGTGTCTTAGTCTAGTTTATTTGATATGGGTTTATAAGCATTTTCTATACATTGGACACTGGTGGTCAGTTTAGTGGTGCAGTTAGCCAAGTAAAGCATCAAACTTCTATATTCAATTTTACTTAAAAATACACAAGATATTGTCTACAATACAACTACAATACTGGTATATCAGTAATGTACCAGTATTGTTGTTTTAAAAAAAAAAATTACAATACTGGTAAAAAATTTGTATACCAGTATTGTGCACAATACTGGTATACCAGTATTGCGATCACCAACTACAGGAGATCCAAAGCAACTGACAAACAAATGACTTAAAAAAGTACATTTCCAAATGACTTGTATAAGGATTAACAGCTATGGTACCTTGGTGGTGAAAGTCTGAATTGATATGTTTATGTAAGTGTGAACTGCTAAGTAAACCATTGGGCCACCTAGTCCCTGTCTGTATATTGTTTTCTTTCTTATAATAGATTTTTTCCATCAGTAAACTACACTGTAGTACACTATTGTTTATTTTGAAATAACCGTGTTTCAAACCTGGGAGAGTAAATCAGTATAACTGGTTTTTTTTTTTTTTTTTTTTTCTTTTTTGCACCTAAAGCTTGACAATATTATAACTAATGAGAAGGAGTTACAAGTTAAATTAGTGACCTCTGCATATTTGTTGTCACACTAGTCAAAACTATGATGATTTTATGTGTAAACCATGTTAGAAGTCAAAGGGTTGGTACATTTTGTAATTATAATGACTTGTTTTGTTCTGAAAGTAAACTTTCATTTTTACTGACTTTAATCCTTTCTCTGATGCAAACCTGGCACCTCTTTATTGGAAAGACTTATATCTATGTAAGATTAAAGCCAACATTTATTGCACATACACACATTTGATGAGAGAAGATGAGATAGATATTCAATAATTCTTTCAACCTCTTTTTCTTATATGAAAGTACAAAATATTGCCATGGTTGGCAATGGCTTTCCCAACACTGATCAAGCCACTGCATTCGGTTCTTTATTTTTTAGTCCAAAATTTAACCTGTAAATAAGCAAAATTTCAAATAGGAAACCTTATTGCTTATTAGCACTTGTTACGGTGCAATATCATTATAAAGATATGGAGCATAATTGAGATGAATACCAATTTCACATTTTTAGTAATTAATTAGTTTGACCTCCTTCTAAACTCAAAATTTAAAATAACAAAACCTTAGCACATATCTATAGACCACACAGGACAGGATCAACACTCGAAAAGGACCTGGTACATAAATGAAAATCATTAAAAGTTAACTTGTTCAGTAATTGACATATTCATACTTGTGGACATATACATGTAGGTAAGGCTTTGTGATAAAACAATCAATGAAGTATTATGCTTGGAGGAATACGTGTACATGTATATCTGACACACAACTAAATTGAAGTTACCGGTAATATAAAAATAAGAAGATGTGGTGTGATTACCAATGAGACAACTCTCCACCAGAGACCAAGTGAGGTAGAAGTTAGCAGCTATAAGTCACAAGAATGTTTTATAGGTGGTTTATTATTACTGAAGAGAATGGTTAAACTTGCAAATACAGTATTATAAATAAAATCATACTAATTTCAGTGATAAAATAAATGTACACAAATGTGATGCATTAATAAAGCTAAGACTCCTGTAACAAATATTATGTTTATCCCAAAACTTGATTGTTATGATTTAGATTGTTAACTTGAGCAACAGTTCTTTATGGATGAAAGGTTTTAAAGTTGGGAATGTTAAAATGGTTTGAGGGCTACCAATAAACACAGTCAAGTCATTCCTGTATTCTTTAAACTTGGTGTATCAAGTATCAAGTATCAATCTTGTATCAAGTAAGGGTTCTACTAGCTGTTCATACTACTTAAGGGGACAGAAAGGGTGACAGGGTTATATAATGTATACAATTATTTATATTGATAATGCTCTGGAGTAGATATAATACATGATGCAGTACAGTTAAACAGCCTTGAGATGTAAATTCCAAATAAAAGAAAGCAAGTTAGACCTCTTTAATCAATTATTGGAATTTCTCTTACGGCAATTAAGTTTTATTGAAGAAATTGCAATGATTGAATTAAATATGATAGATCTTCTTATAAGCTGTTTCCCTTTAATAGAAAATTATGGATCTTTAGTTAATTGAGAATATAAGAATGCTCATTAATATAAATTTTTCATAAGATTAGAATTAAGAATTGCATCATCCATAACTTAATGTTTGCACCATGGATATATGAAAAGGTTGGGTATATATATATAAGAGAATGATTTCCTACTGTTTTTCCTGTAGAAAGTTAGAAAATCCCCCAAAAAATTTCTGTAATATTTATGGGAATTCCATTCATCCTGTATTAAGGCTAATCACAAATCTCATCTTGTATCAAGTAAGGGAATCCAAACATTCAACTTGTATCAAGTAAGGGAATCCAAAAATTCAACTTGTATCAAGTAAGGGAATCCTAAAATTCAACTTTTATCAAGTAAAGGAACCCCTACATTCATCTTTTATCAAGTAAGGGTATACATACATTCATCTTTTATCAAGTAAGGGAATCCAAACATTCAACTTGTATCAAGTAAAGGAACCCCAACAATGAGCATTCAACTTGTATTAAGTAAGGGAATCCCTACATTCCTCTTGTATCAAGTAAGGGAATCCTAAATTCATCTTGTATCAAGTAAGGAAATCCCAAAATCATCTTGTATCAAGTAAGGAAATCCTAAAATCATCTTGTATCAAGTAAAGGTATACCAACATTCATTTTGTATCAAGTAAGGGAATCCTAAAATTCAACTTGTATCAAGTAAAGGAACCCCTACATTCATCTTTTATCAAGTAAGGGTATACATACATTCATCTTTTATCAAGTAAGGGTATACATGCATTCATCTTGTATCAAGTATGGGAATCCTAAAATTCATCTTTTATCAAGTATGGGAATCCCTACATTCATCTATTATCTATTAAGAGTATCCTAAAATTCATCTTGTATCAAGTAAGGGTATCCTAAAATTCATCTTGTATCAAGTAAGGGTATCCTAAAATTCTTTTTGTATCAAGTTAGGGTATCCCATTCAAATAAGTAAGAGAATCTAAACATTGAACTTGTATCAAATAAGAATATGTCGACATGAAAGACAACAACACTCAAATGTTTATGCATGGAACTCGTTTAATTGGTCAACATGTTTCGCTAGCAAGTGTGGCGTCTTCAGGACAAGTAGATACATGAAATAAAACAGTTAAGTACAAATTTTGCAGTTATTGCGGTTGACCGGAAGTAATGTTACAATTATGGTTGTTATGACGACGTTATCGATAAAAATAGAAAGTGAAAGTGAAAATGGAAATAGTTAGGTTGAATAGAAAATGAAAGTAGTCAATAATGTTATAAATGATGGTAGGCTGATTGGAGGTTCATAGAGGTATTGTTAATAATGTTATAAACGATGGTAGGCTGATTGGAGGTTCCTAGTGGTATTGTTAATAGAGATGATGAAAGTGGATAATAAAATGTTTGGTTCATCTTGTATCAAGTTAGGGTATCCCATTCAAATAAGTAATGGAATCCAAACATTGATCTTGTATCAAACAAGTAAGGGTCCAAACATTGAACTTGTATCAAATAAGTAAGGGTCCAAACATTGATCTTGTATCAAAAAAGTAAGGGTCCAAACATTGATCTTGTATCAAATAAGTAAGGGTCCAAACATTGATCTTGTATCAAATAAGTAAGGGTCCAAACATTAATCTTGTATCAAACAAGTAAGGGTCCAAACATTGATCTTGTATCAACCAAGTCAGTGTCCAAACATTGATCTTGTATCAAATAAGTAAGTGTCCATTCATTGATCTTGTATCAAATAAGTAAGGGTCCAAACATTGAGCTTGTATCAAACAAGTAAGGGTCCAAACATTGAGCTTGTATCAAACAAGTAAGGGTCCAAACATTGAACTTACTTGTATCAAATAAGTAAGGGTCCAAACATTGAACTTGTATCAAATAAGTAAGGGTCCAAACATTGATCTTGTATCAAACAAGTAAGGGTCCAAACGTGTCCTTGCTCTTGTATCAAATAGGTAAGGGTCCAAACATTGATCTTGTATCCAATAAGTAAGGGTCCAAACATTGATCTTGTATCCAATAAGTAAGGGTCCAAACATTGATCTTGTATCCAATAAGTAAGGGTCCAAACATTGATCTTGTATCAAATAAGTAAGGGTCCAAACATTGAACTTGTATCAAATAAGTAAGGGTCCAAACATTGAACTTGTATCAAATAAGTAAGGCAAACATTGATCTTTTATCAAATAAGTAAGGGTCCAAACATTGATCTTGTATCAAATAAGTAAGGGTCCAAACATTGAACTTGTATCAGATAAGTAAGGGTCCACACATTGAACTTGTATCAAATAAGTAAGGGTCCACACATTGAACTTGTATCAAATAAGTAAGGGTCCACACATTGAACTTGTATCAAATAAGTAAGGGTCCAAATATTGAACTTGTATCAAATAAGTAAGGGTCCAAACATTGATCTTGTATCAAATAAGTAAGGGTCCACACATTGAACTTGTATCAAATAAGTAAGGGTCCACACATTGAACTTGTATCAAATAAGTAAGGGTCCACACATTGATCTTGTATCAAATAAGTAAGGGTCCACACATTGAACTTGTATCAAATAAGTAAGGGTCCACACATTGAACTTGTATCAAATAAGTAAGGGTCCACACATTGAACTTGTATCAAATAAGTAAGGGTCCACACATTGATGTTGTATCCAATAAAGAACCCCACATATTAGTAAAGAAAAGCCTTTTATTATGATTATCATGGTCATGATGATTAATAATGTTAACTTCCTGTCATTGTTACTACTACTATATGTTTGCATTGTAAGGTGGAAGACTTTTTTTTTTAAATTATCTTCTTTCTGTTAAGTAATCTTATCTGTTATAACTGAAACATTCTCTATGACTATTTTGTAGCATCATTGTCTAGGGGACTTCCCTTTTCAGTGTATGCTCTACATTTTGCAGTGGTGTTTATTTTCTTTCCTGATATGTATAAACAAATTGTTTAATGAAACCTTGATATCATATGATGATATTGTATGACATAAATTTGAGAATAGAATGTTTCCTATTGAATAAAACTGAATCTGATATCAAATAGTTGACCCAATTTTAGCTATCTACCTGTTAATCTTTATTTACCTGCGGACAGATTTTATGATTTTTTAGCTGTGAGATATGTTTTACAAGTATATAAATTTATAGATGGCTGTCTCAATTAAAGACATTTACCTAACAAGTTTAGTTAAAAGAACAGAAAACCTTTACTCCTCTAAAGAAATTATTTTTCTCCAATACATTGTATTCAGTTCAGATTATTGAACTTTTCAAATAAGGTTATTCAACCTTCAGTCAGATGCTGCTTTTTTTCAACAGGCGTTGATTCACATAGAATTAGTAGTTAAGAATCACCCTTGGCCTTGGTTTCTTGTAAGATCTGTAATACAGAACATAAGCTTAAACATTTTCTTGCATAATTTAGATTTTAGATAGACAAAAACCAAATTTTCTAAAGAAACCAGTTGTCCATTTATTTCTTGTCAATCCAAGTGACAGTTGACTGCTTTATTGTTAAAAGAAGTAAATAATGAAGCACTAGTGAAATTTAAATTGCAAAGTGCCTTTGCTTCAACCTAATTATTGCACATGCAATTATTAATTAATTTTTTTTGAAGATGAATATGAGAAATGTCCTGAGATAGTTATTGTAAATTCAGAAATTAATGTGTGCATTTATTATTGCGATTTTTGAAGAATGGACAAAAGTGTGAGTTCAATTATTGTGATTTCAGAAAAATCTGCATAAATACACTTGTATCAGTTTTCAGAATGCGAGAGCTCTAATTATTGCGACTCAGTCAGTCGCATTAGAACCATTAATAAAAACCTCACAATAATATCTGAATTTACAGTATTCTTTTCTGTAAGCTCTTATTAAGCAAACACACTTTTTTATCAATCAAAATTTGGAAATTAATATTTCCCATTGTAATTATAATATATAGGTCAGTCAATCTGCAGGTTAGCATTCTTCAAATTTAATCTGAGATTGAATCCAACAAGGCTTGTTTCTTCTTTTCAAGAAACTCCCATGAATGTTTTCACCAAAAAAAAATCCCAAATAATATGACATAACATAGTGTTTAATATTTAAAAACATAGGCTTGACCAGTAACTGACCCAACAAAACAGGATTATCAACCATATACAGGCACTATCACCTATAATTAGCTTGAAGTGGTGGATAACAAAAGTAGCATTGGGTTGATTGAACTTAGGAGTAAAGGCGTTACATAAATGTAGACAGATATGTTACTTTGCCTGTAGCTAGACATATATCTTCCCTTGACTTTTATAATAGTTGATGATTAAAGGATTACACTGTGAAGGTTTTATGTAATAACAATGCATTATATCTTTTTAATCATAAAAAAAGAACAATAAAAATATTTTTGAAGGAAATAAAATTTTAAATTTGTGAAAGTCAAATGTAAATCGTTCATTTGTTTGTTTGTTTTGAAAGTCAGATTTAAGTCGTAAGAGGAAATAAAACTCTTATATTGATATGAATGAGTTAATAAACTTTTGAAGGGTTTTACAAACGCATGTTTACTACTTTGTATACAACTAAAGATTTTGAACAATTTTAATACTCATTTGTTAAAATAATTTTCTTTTTATGTAAGATATATAAAAAGAGATTTTTTATTTAAAGGTCCAGGGTCCTTCAATAGCTTTGTACCTTAAATTTATTATATACTTAGTAGTAAATACAGATAAATTGTATGTGTAATACAATCATTGGCAAGCATGCTGTATCAGCCACCCGTGATGATATCTATATCAGCACGGTTGCAAAGGCTTTATCACACCTTTAATCTGTATGACGTCACGTCATCAATTGCAGTTACTGCTGCAAAGACTTTATCAAACCTCTAATCTGTATGACGTCATGTCAAACCTATAATCTATATGACGTCATTTCAAACCTCCTTATCAGTATGACGTCATGTCACATTAAAAACATCTACATGAGGTATATGTATATAATAAAGTATATATGAAATTGCTTTTTCAATATCACACACCATATCAACCCCCAACCAATATAATCCCTTGAACAGAGCTCTTGGGATTATATTGGTGTCTTGGGTTGATACAGATGTGATATTGAAAAAGCCATAGGATATTCTCTATATATTGTAAAATGATCTGTGACTTTTTAAAATTAGATATCTGGATAAAGTTTTCAAATCTTAACTTTGTTTTAAACTTTTATAAAACAGTTTTACATCATAAAGTATATGTCTACAAGAGTAGGAAAAGTATTGGACCACTATAAATCAAAGCAAACAAAACATAAAACTATCCACAAGGCTGATGGTAGCTGTCTTCCGAACCATAATACTGTAAAATTAGTTATTTCGTGCATTACTATTACAGTTGTTGATCATGTTGATGAATGAACAAGACTGTGGGATTAATTTATATCAGCTCAGATAATGCTGCATACAAATAATCCAATCAAAATATTGATTCGCTTCAAGTTATGGAATGTTCCTCTATAGTTAATCCATTGTAAGTGCATTCATGCATTTAATTATGTTGTCAAGCATTGCATATGCATACCTGTGATTTGTAATATACATGTATCATCTACAATTAATATATCATTTTCATTGATTCAATAAAACTGTCATTTATTTACAACATTTGCATTGATTCATTTATATTATTAATTTAATAACAAGGAGTGGGATATATTTAGACCACGGAAATTGATATACATCACATACTAGTTGATCATTGGCTAAATCTATTACCTCAGTAAAAACATTTCAGAAATGGGACCTCATATGAAATGAATGGTAATAAACGATTTAATTTTTTTTTTATTTGAACATATTTCCTAGGATTTAAAATATTCAATCTCTTTTAAACAAATATATTGGAAATATGACCATATATTTTTTTACAGAATTTTGAAAAAAGAAAAAAAAGATTTTAAAAAACTTTTAAAATAGTCTTAAGCTGTTCATTCAGTATTCTGGTCTCCTTGATGTATTACCATAAAAAATCTATTAAATTCCACTTAGCAGGCGTACATATTTTTTGAAACATTAACAAATGTAATGTACAAAGTATACAAATGAATATTATGTACTACAACCCTAATTACTTGTATATTATTAGAGAGTGTCAGTAGTATACATACTTTTTCTATTTATAGATCAACACAGTATGGATAGATTTGACAACACAAGGGATATGGAACCCACCTTCGAGCTAGATCATTTAGCTACATATTCATCAAAATCAGGTAAGGATTTTCATCACAGAAATTGGAAGTGTTTGTTGCCCTATTACTTCAATAATGCATGCTTAAAAAATCTTGTGTATGCAGACAGTAGAGAAAATATGATAAAAGCCATTGTAGTAAGCTTCTTCAGTCCTTTCAAAATTATGTAAATTTTATTGATAAATGAATACAATGATATTGTCTAGTCATACTAGTGCAGTAATGTCATTATTGAAGTCACTGTGATATCATAAACATGTCCAAAATGACATATTTGACCTAATATTACAATTTTTGACACAGTGCTTGAATAGAATTGAATATGAGCAACAACCCTACCCCAAAAAGACATTTTACTTGCATCAACAACTTTGTATAAGACATCTTGTAATAAAATAACATTTTTTTTAAGGTTGTAACCTATATCCAAATTTTAATGACAAAATGAGTCTACATTAGCAGTTTTTCCTCAAATATAAAAAGTCTAAAAACCAGGAGTAAAGAAAATATGTAAAACGAATTTTGGAAGTGTGAACACTGATATCTGACTATTTAATATCTCGTCCGAAGGATGCTGTTTGAGATTTATTACCAAGTATATTGTTTATTTCTTAAAATCTAGGGGCCCAATCATGGCCTTCTCATATCATCTCCATTTACTAGCAGCAGTTGTCTATAAAACTATTATAAATATTCTGTTTCAAATGAATAATGTTTAAACAATTACATGTTATCCAGATTCATTTACCATTGTTTGGAACAAGAATAAGAATTCTGTTGAAATATTTGCATGATCCTTGCTTTTTAAGAGAAAAATTGATAAAAAACAAAAATGATTTTATCCTTTATATTCTTCTGCTTATTATTACTGACAATTTATTTTAGGTGTGATGAAACCTGAGGATGGATTACGCAAGTTACGTGGAATGGAAAGTACAACCGGCATCTGGACAATGAGATGTGTCATGATCATAGAACGCAAGAATTTAATCGTAATCGACAAAGGAAATGGGGTATGTAATTTTATGTTGTGAAAAAAAAAACATAAAAACTTTCGCAATTAAGAAATATATAGGAATAAAAATACATTCTTTTTCTTTGTGGGTTTGAAATTTCTCATTAGTGAATTTTGAAGGTAATAGTTTCATTGGTTTATAATGTTTTCTGATGTGTGATGTAATATTGCAAGATTTTATTGTGGTGTTTAACTTAATTAAATACTGGTATCCACAAAAAATAACCAGCAAGTCTTTGTTTTTACCCTATTCACAGTATATATTTGAAAACAAGTTCCAATATCAAATCAATTTGACACATGACAATATATAAAGTTAGTGACAGACATAACACTTGTTGTGAACATTATTAACATTATTTGCATGCCACAAAAGTTGAGTGGATATGAAAATGTAACTCAGCAGCTATATGTTGGCAAAACATATGTATGTTTCAGATTTCAAGCCAAAGCTAAACCGAAAGTAAAAGTAAAATACTGCTGACGCGACATCACTATCAAATTGTTGCCACTTTACCACATATTACGGTTCATAAACTGTCGAAAGAGCTGATAGGACGGCTGAAAGTTCTAACAGTTATTACCTTGTAATTCTTTGTGTTTTTTCGTTATGTTATTTAAATATGCATCTTGGGCATTAATAAGAGTTTTATTTTAGAAAAAAGTTGTGTGCCCTTAGATATAATGAATCAAATTAACCCTTAAAAGGATGTGAAGAAGATTCAGGTCATTAGGTTAGAGTGCAGATGGAATTGTCTTTATGTCAGCTGCCTGTATATTTATTGTATAAATATGGGTCATAGAATTTGATATTTATTTAAGTTGCTATTTAAGTGTTGTGTAATGCCTAATGATTAACAAAAGTATGAAGAATGACTGTATTTTAATTTCTTAATACATTTTTCTACTTGTATTATACAAAATCAGATATACATATTAAAAATATCTCAATTTATTAAGGTATAACTTGAAAGTGTTAAGCAGTATTCATTATAAATACATGGACTGTGATCTTATATTTCCAGGAGGAATTGGAAAGATTCCCATTAGAACTTGTACATGAACCAACAGCAATATTTAAAGAAGACAAAAGAGAAGTGTACACAAACTTAATACTGTTTACAATGTTAGAAAATCCAGGGAAATATAACAGTAGATGTGATATGCACATATTCCAAAGTATAAATGCTCCGGTAGGTATTTATTATAAAACACGGGTTACCAAAATTCCATGAGATTTATTAAGTTTGCATTAGGTTGACCCTAGCTTATTTGAGTTCCTGTTAACAAAAAAATCTAAATGTACTGTATTAAAATATTGCTATCATTTCTTCCTACAAGTGAGAGGTTTAGCTAGCTCTGATACCAGGTTTAATCCACCATTTTCTCCATAAGGAAATGCCTGTACTAAGTCAGGAAAGTGATAGTTGTTTTCCATTTGTTTGATGTGTTTGAGCTTTTGATTTTGCCATTTAATAAGGGACTTTCTGTTTAGAATTTTCCTTGGAGTTCCTTATTTTCTTTTATTTTACTTTTTACATGACATTTTTAAGAAATTTTCTTTTATCGTTCATAAAACAAGGGTTATCTAAATTCCATAAGATGTAATAATTTTGCACTAGGTTGACCACAGCGTATTCATGATCCTGTTACAAAAATGCAATGTACCACAGTATGTGATGATTTTTATGAAAGGAAGATTTTTTAAGGAATTTCTTTGATCACTCGCAATTAAAGTTACACACCTTTGGTGAATAGTTTAGTTTAGTTTAAACAAATTTTATTGTTCAAAAAGGACAAACTGATTTGACACACAAGTTTTTCAACTTAGTAACGTCTTCTCCAAGTGAATGAATAACATTTTAACATTATGATCAGGGCAGCATATTTTTTATCCTTAAAATTAAAAGATGATTAACAATTGAAGGGAGTGAAATCAATCAGACCATTGCTAGGTGTTTAGCTATTAAATAAAATCAATAATGAATTTTGAAAACTGCAAGTAATAGGAAGGACATGTATGCACATGATATGGTTGAATGATTTTTGAGAATGAAAAGGGTGTGTATATGTTACACCTACATTTGTTTTCAGTGAATTAATATTTTAACTGACATTTAATTCAGGCATGTCATTTGAAATGAATACTTTTAAAAGTGAGAAAATAACTGGACAAAATATTAATGACAACTCCCATTTTTTAATAGCATTTTATTTTCTTATTTACGTCATGACCTTATTTATTTCCGTTTCCTTAAAAAATGGTGTGCTGTAAACATTATTACAATGTTGTTAGTTGAAGAATATTTTGTTTAGATGCTTCTTAAATGATGTAGGGAAAAAGCTGAAGAAATTCTTTCATGATGTAAATAAAGGATAAGAGAATAATTTAATATGTTATATATCATGGATATTGGACTTTTCATTGATCTGTTTTGAATGTTTTGTGGACAAAGGGAAGTAATAAACTCAAAAATTAACAACAACACAATTAGAAAAAAAGTAAGAAATATATGTTGGTGATTACATTAAAAATTTAAAACCTCCAGCAAATATAAGAAAAAAATCTGTATTTGAATGAAAGAGTTAACTAAATGCATATAAATTTGTGCTAGGGATTGGGTTGAATTTAAAATACTTGTATCCTTCAGCCTTCGTTAAATTTTCACAGGTGTATGCTTCTGTGGAAATGTTGGTTGTCATTAAGCATTTTTTTGCAGATTTTTAAATACAATGCACTGGTCAGTTATCTATTTTAATAATTATATTTCATGGGTTGTTGTTGCTATGTTATTAAACAGATATTTGTTATGATAATTATTAAACACACTTTTACATAATTTAGAAATGGACAAAATAGATATGCTGTATTAATTCATAACACACAATTTCTATTCACACTTTATTAAGCCCAAGCAATTTTAGTGCTGTTCTTCATATAAAAGTCACAGTAAGGCCTACAATGCAGAGAAAATGCTGGCACCTAACTGCAATCTCCTAGCACAAGTTTGAACAAAATTCCTTATTAGATGTCAGTAACGCTGCCTTGAAGAACACAGATGTTGGGTAAATTACAGAATTTAGCAAAAAAAGAAATGTCACAAATACTGTCATAAATATACAGACAATAGCAATAAAAAAACAGAAAACCAATACAAACAAAAAATGCTTCTTGTTACAGGCACAAGATATTGTAGATGAACTCCTAGCAGCTAAAGAAGGTCGTCCTAAATTATTTTCAAGGTATGTTTAAGATTGCACAAAGTAGCTAAACATTTTTTGATAATATAAGATATTCCATTGTATTACAATGTAGTCAAAATGTTTGTTTAATATGCCTGTTCTCCATCTTGGAGTGAATTATTTTTCTCTCTGAAAACAGTAGGGGGAATCAGGTTGTCAGATAAAGTCTGTTTGATTAAACTTCTGCTGCCAATTTTCTTTTCACAGATGGGGGAAATACTTAAAATTGTTTAAAATCAGCATATTATGAATTTTCCATAAAAACTGAAGCAAATCATTTGCACTATAGTCCATTTCTTAGTTTTTTCATACCATATCATTGCTAGTACTCAGATTGATATATTGCAGTTTTTTTCAGCAATGGTTTTAAAGAATAAATTTTAAAATGGTATGACAGTCCAAACTGCAAAAGTAAAAGCATCTCCGATAATAGATCTAACAAATTTATTTGTTAAAAAAAAGAAAACTACAAAAGAACCAACATATATAGTTTTTGAGTAAATGTTTTGCAAAACCTGTCCCAAATATATTGATATCTCCTTTCTTAGATAATCGGTATATATTGACTTGGAACTACATGTAGTGAATATGTGTATGTTCTAATGAGAAAAAAATATAAATATATAATACTAAAACATGTTTTATCGAACTATGTATCAAATGAGACCAGATTGTAAACAGCCATAGATGTTGCATAATGGAAAAACATCAATATAAAATTGCTATTAAATATAACTTAAATTATGAATATTGAGTTTTGATATTATTTTTTACAGCAGTATACCTCCACCTCCAATGGGACCAGCACCAGACCCACCAGGTAAAGTAGATATGTAATTTGAAACATTCAAAAGATTTTGGAAATTTGTTTGAAATTTCTAATTCTGTCTATTTATTTTTTATTTGAAAAAATAGTAGGGAGCAAGTTTTTTTTATTCCCTTAGATGCAGGAAAGTTCCAAGGGAAGTCAGTCCAATGTATAAATTTGACGAAAAAAATATGGTAAGATATCTTGAAATCTGTTCTGACTATTGTAAATAAAGCGCAGGAGTTCTTCTCTGTGGCTTTTTCCACTACCCTGAACAGGCATAGTACCTGAGAAAGGCACTTCTGACACAAGAAAGCCAACAACAAGTAATTAAGCAACTCTCCTGTGTTTTGCATTCTTAAGAAACAGAAGAATATAATGGCTAATCATTAAAATGATGTTTTATTGTCTTCCTTGGCTTGAATGCATGGTAAAAATAATAGACATTAGCTATATAGGTTTTGTTTGGGGCTAGACATTTTTAAGTTCTGAATTTTTTACAGCTTTTTTTTTGTTGCTAGAATGTGTGATACCTTTTACCTGAACTGCTAGAACTGTATTTTATGATAATAGAGGTATTTTGTAATAATATAATTTTAAAGGAGGTCGTTGGCTTGGAGGAAACAAAGAACCGAAGTCGCATTTCAGTTATAGTACTGACGCACAAGAACAAAATCAACCAGTTGTTGGAAAGCGTGAGAAAGTTATAAAACTGCCTGCAGAAAAGCATGTTATTACTGAAAGACTAGTTCCTGGTGGGAAGCATCCAATTCAGATAATAAGAACTCCCGTTGAAGAGCATTACACTAAAGAAAAATATATTCCTCTTGGTCTTGAAACCAGAGAAAAAATGCCCACTCCTCCTGTAAATCGACGATTTATACGTGAGGTGTATGTTCCTGACGAGAGGAGGCAGAGAAATGCTTTGTCATCTGTGCCTTCTGTAAATGAATCTTCTGTCCGTGAACAATATATACCTTTAGAAGAAATGCAACAGAAGTTAAAAATGCCACCTGTTCAAGAACATTTTGCTCGTGAAAGGTACATACCTTTAGGGGAAAATCATTCAAAAAGGGCAAGTCCTCATGTCAAAGAGCATTTTGTAGAAAGGCGCTATGTCCCAGTTGGGACAGAAAGACGTTCCAGTTTTGGTGACCAGTCATATGGTAGCACTAGTGAAGGATTTTCTACATCTGCTATTGAGGAAGAAGAGTTTGATGTTCCAGAAAAGTATCTGTCCCTCACAAGTAGACGAGGTTCAAGCTCTAGTAATCGCAACAGAAGCAGCAGTGTAGATAGGTATACATTGCCAAATAGTCATGGCTCTAGTGTGATGTCAGATGGATATGCCGTCCCATATGATCCTAGAAATTCAGAAAAATATAATTTTGCATCAAAGGAGAGAAGAAATTCCACGGGAGGGTTAGAAATGCCAGCATTTACAATGCCAAGAAGTAGACTATCAACCAGCAGTGCCAATACATATGAAATTCCTTTGAAATTAGAAAGAACTATGCCATATAGAAGTGAACATGATCTTCTGTCTGCTGTAAGAAGGGAGGTAGATTATTTCCCAGAGAGCAGTATTTCTTCTGGAAGTGGAAGAGGAAAATGGAAGTTTGGAGAAAGACGGCAACAATTTTCTTCTTCAAACCAGGGGTCTTCTAGTGGTTATTCCTCAATGGAACCTTCAGTCCATTACGGTACAATGCCAAACACAGGGGCCAAATCTAGTAAGTCAGTGGAAGGGATGAGAATGCACTTATCTACACATTGGTATCAATGGTCATTTGTATATTGGGATCAATAGTCATTGGAATGATAGTATATTTTGTTTGTATGGTGGAGAACAGATAAGCATATTGGTGTCAACCACTGAATGATATATTGGCTAATATCTTGTCTATATTCAAGGCATGCAATTAAGATGATGAAAAAAATTGGAATAATTTGGAGAAAGGCGATATAGAGACAATTCTTCATAAAGATTACTTATAATGCATGATTTCACAGACTAACATTGTTTGTATTTACCATTTAATTTTGAGGGATAATGTATGATATGACTTGCATTTATGAATGAATTAATATCTTAAGTTATAAACATTTCTGTACATAACATTTTAGAAATATTTAATTTTGAGGGAAAGTGTATGCGATGCATTGCATTTATGAATGAACTAATATCAAAAGTTATAAACATTTCTTTTTGTAACATTTTGAAAAGTATGATATTTTTCAGGTAGATAAATATTATACAATTTAGCTTCCAACTTGGCATCTAAATCTCCAACAAAATTGATATTGATTTCAGTCAATTTTGAATTAATTTCTGTTACATAATCTACATAACATGATTATACATGTATTTAGAACTTTATATTTCTTGAAAAAAAAAGATATGTTAATGTTTATTTTTCAAATAAATTTAAAACAATTCTAACTAAAACTTTCTTTAAGAAAAATCTATTCATCTAGTGTTTATCTACCTTAATGCTTTTAAAGTGAAAAATTGTGGCCTACTTCTGGAGAAAACTATACTCACAATAATTTAACTAATGTTTGTCAAAACTGACTTTGGTTACTATAATTACTATGCTCTGTAATGGTTTAGTTTTTTGCCTTTTTGATCTGGTCTTCTCAGAGAAATCTTAGTAAGGGGATTGTCCAACTCGGGTAGCTTAATATGCACTGCACATGTGCAACATTTTTAAGACAATGAAAAGTATTGATTGCTTGTTTACCCCCTTCCAGAACTATAAAATGTAACAGCAACGAACCAAACTATTGTTTTGGATTGAAATAAGCTAGTTATACTACCAAGGCAATCAATTATATTTGTCTTTTCAGTATTCTTTACATTTTATCTCATGAACTTCTGCATGATACATTCAGTGCTGAAGTTTAATTATAAAAGATATGTATATTACATTTTAGCTCTTATGATTATTTAATAAAATTGATGAACAAATTACAAATATGAATTTTGCTCTTAATGTAAGCATTAATATTTGTATTGGATGTCAAAATCAAACAAGATTTTTAAAAGAAATTAAAAACTGAAACTAAGCTCATTTTGTTCTGGAATTATGATTTTTTTCCCCATTTCTGTCTTTTCACAAAATAATTTTGTGTTTCAGCATTAATTTAAAGCACATGTGTGAATATTTATACTTTTATCAGTAATATGTATACAATATATATAATTTTGTGCCCCTCCTTTTGAATAAGTGCTTGAGGCAAATAGAGGCAAATATCTGGCATAAAAAGAAAAAGTAACAACATGCATATTGTATTATTGCAGCATGTTTTGCTCTATTTTTTTTTCTCATATATAAATTTTATTTTGTATATTGTTATATTCGCATGATAATTCATTTGTAGAACAAAGTTCACGATACCAATTCAAAACAACAACATTACGTGACGAAGGTATGAAATCAAATAGTAATGGATTACGTTTACAAAATGAAGGATTCCGAGTAATTCCTAGTTCTGAAGGATTTAGACCTCCAAGTGAAGGTTATAGAACCCAGAGTGAACCTTTTAGATCACAGAATGAGGGTCCTAGAGGAGACATGTATTCCCTCCCTATGCGTGACAAAGACTCTGTCAACAGTGAGTGGAACGGGTCACGGTGCATGCTTCCAGACTATTTATTATTGCTTGCCTTTGCTTACTTTCCTAGCATTTCGTAGAATTTATTTTAGGAATGCTGGATACATTAGTTATTTGCATTTTTCAGAAATTATTTTTTTTTAGAAAAGGCAAATTTTCTACTTTTTTACTTAGTAATACATGAAAACCAAATTTAAAGCAGTTTTACAGTCTCCTTTTCCAATCAGTCAATTATGTTGCAAAGGTAAAAAATAAAGAAGAGTATGTGCATTTTAATTAAAGTTCAACAGACAAGAAGTAAAAAAATAGTGCAAGTTAACTAGGTTTTACTCAAAGCAGTCTTGATTAAAAAGCTTTATTTGAAAATAGAAAACTTGCCTTTTACATATTTATGTTGCATTTTTTTAGTTTTAGACATTTTTTAATGTAGCAAATTTTATGTTGTTAGGTGAATATATTTTTTAGTTGCATTAATTAAGTTGGAATGTTCATTTTATGTTACATATTTATTTCTACAAAGTATGCAGGTATAAAAAGGACTTGGGGATAAAGCAGTGGTGATATATAGGGCTGTTTCTTTTGAATTAATGTACAAGTCTTGGATGGCTTATAAATATCCATTATAACTTTGTAATGTAAGCTATTTTCATAAATATTTGCATGTCATATACGAAACATTTATTTTCTTACCTTGTACATTAATTTCACTAGGATAGTCCTCTGTTCCAACATGCAAATGATACTTTCAACTTAATACCAGATTATAATAAATTCAATACTGGAAGAGGATCGTACATCGAGAATGATGTTGCAGATTATTAACGCAATTGCTTGTTAAATTGCAATTTCCAATGTTCAGCCAAAAATAAAAGCTTCAGGCTTTCAGCAGATGCTTAGTAGTGTTTTATTTTTTTTATTTATAAATGAACAGATTTTTAAAATATTTTTCCCTGCAAATTTTTATTAATACAATATTTCAGTTTCGGTATATCAGTGTAAAATTAAATTTGAAAAACTTCCGCCAAATGTTATATTTTATAGGTACTTTTAACTTCAGCGTAAACATTTGACAATTTTAACAGTTGGAAGAAACTGAGGGGTTTGATTTCCTCAAATTCTCGTACCATTTTAATCAATTCCATAAATCAATCGCAAAACATTTACAGAAAAATCTTTGATGTTAAAATACTGTAGTATCTGTGTTTTACAGGCAGGGGAGGTAACTATGGTCAATCACAGTACAGAGCATCATATACTGAACCTCCTGGTGGACAAAATGAAAGTTTAGAAAGGGATGTGGTAAGGGTTTGAACTTTTGATGATCAAAGGGAGATAACTTTTGGAAAGAAAAATAGAATGGACTGGAAATTATTTTGATAATGTATTTTGAAAAGTAGTGTTCTCATTGGCAGTGCCATGTTGTTATTTCCCAAATCATGTTATTACATCGTTAAGACTTCTGATGTTTTGTAACTTTCTAGGACTTTCTACAAGTTTGCCTTTGTACAGACATCTTAGGTCAGTGCTCAAGTATTTTCCTGTAATGCACACGACTTTTAATCTTAATTTATATAGCTGACATACTCTTGGACAAATTTGGGATGCAAAAGTTTTGTAAAATCACTATGTGAAATGATTGATTTGTACTTTCATTTTGCCAATTCTTTTGCAAGGTTAATTTAAAATAAAAGAGTCCTGGAGACATCAGTAAATTTTTAGTTTTTGTATATATAGAAGGAAGGATTAGGCTTAATTTAATGAAGAGATTTTTGTTTTGATCTGAAAACAATGTCCTGCCTTAGGAAGTTATTAGTTAAATATATAGTTTTCATACTTTTGTATTTCAGCAAATTTTAAACTCTTGTTTTGATGACATAGAAAAATTTGTTGCCAGACTTCAACAAGCTGCTGAGGCATACAAAGAATTAGAAAATCGTAAACGTGAACGACAGTCACATAAAAAGAAAAACGACAGAGGTGAGATAATTAAGTCATAATGGTTGGGAAAATGACAAAACACATTTCTTTAACCATGGAATTAATGTGCTATAATAATTTTTTTACAGGAAATATCATTTTAATCTTTAAACTTATGATTTATGGACACAATTTTATATACAAGAAATGATTGAAATGTTTGTAAAATTTGATTTGTTTGCTTGATCAAACTGGTAAAATACTTTATAAAAATAATAGCAAAGAATGAACAATAAACCAACATTACATCACCAGTGTTGGTGAAAGAGTTCAATGAATTCAGCAAAAACATTGGTGGAAATGTATGCTATTTTGGTGGCCTTTGGCTGTTTTCTGCTCTTTGGTCGGGTTGTTGTCTCGTTGACACATTCCCCATTTCCATTCTCAGTTTTATTTATTTACAATATGCTAATGAAGTCTTAAACATGCATAATGTTGACATTATTTTTTAAATCTATCATATCTGCAAGACATAATGAGTATTATATTGATAATGTTAAAATTACTGTCACAAGGAACATTTTTTCTGCTTTTTATGCCCCTGCCGTCACCAGAGGGGTCATTTAGTGTTACCCTTGTCCCTCCGTCATTATGTATTTCCCAAAATTGGTTTCTGCTCTCTAACTTTAGTTTGCCACAACCAAATGTTATGAAACTTATACACAATGCTTATTACCACAAAATACAGATCAAGTTCGAATTTGGGTGGCATTAAGTTTTACCCTTGTCCATCTGTACGTACATACGTAAGTACGTCCCAAAATTGGTTTCTGTTCTCTAACTTTAGTTTCCCTCAACCAAATGTTATGAAATTTATACACAATGCTTATTACCACAAAACACAGATCAAGTTTGAATTTTGGTGGCGTCACTTTTACTGTTCTAAAGTTATGCCCCTTTACAAATGGAAAAAATGCTGAAATATTATTTGTTTCTGTTCTCTAACTTTAGTTTGCCTCAACCAAATTTTATGAAACTTATACACAATGCTAATTACAACAAAACACAGATCAAGTTCTAATTTTGGTGGCATCACTTATACCGTTCTAGAGTTATGCCCCTTTACAAATGGAAAAATTGCTGAATTTTTCGTTTCCATTCTCTAACTTTAGTTTGCCTCAACCAAATGTTATGAAACTTATAAACAATGCTTATTACCACAAAACTCAGATCAAGTACAAATTTGGGTAGCTTCACTTTTACAGTTCTTGAGTTATGTCCCTTTATAATGTTATATGCAAGCAGGGGCATCATCTGTGTCCCATAGACACATTCCCCATTTATTTATCATTAATGTAGGAAAATATGTCACTTCTAAAATATATGATAATTTTAACTGATTTAGTAGTAGATATTATAAGTAATTTATTCTTGTTTCTATAGCACCACCACCTAGAGATGGCATGTTAAACATGAGGGCTAGACCCCCACCTGGGGATGATTTCATAGATATCTTCCAAAAAATCAAATGTGCTTTTAATTTACTGGTTAGTATATACAGATATTAAACTTTAATTTTGTTTTTTAAACAGTTTTTATGTGATATGCAAATTCTCATTGCTGCATGATAGTTGAGATATATTGTAATTCACTAAGTTAAATTTTAAGACATTTCTGCATTTTGTTCGGTGCTTGAAACTAAAGGTTGCAAAGGTGTCCATTTTTTGCTTATTTTGGAAAGTATTTTTATTGGGGGATTAAAGATACTTGTATTTTAGGTAGGAGAAAAAAGGTTCCAGTTTCCTGTTTTGGTCAGTAAAAATCTATTTGGGATACCAAAAAATGAGTTATTCAAGCACTGAAATACCAGATAAAAATGCCTTTGTTTTAAGTTTTTATACACATGTAACTCCACGTACTGTAAACCAAATTATTTTAGAAAACCATTCATTTAAGCAAAATTGGCTAGTAGAAAAATGATGTGAATATAATGCATCACCAATTTGTTCATTTCTTACATGAATACTTCAAAAAAGTGAAAAAAATCACAAAAGGTCGGTATGAAAAGAATTAAAATGAAAATAAAGAGAAAAACAGTATGTGAAATAATAAAATTAATTTGGGGGAATACAATAGCAGTCTCAAATTAGAATGATTTACAATTCATTTTTTTTTGTATTTCTTAGTAAGTGCTGTATAATCAATGAAGATCAATACTCATTAACCTTTTCTTATTTTATAGTCAAAATTAAAGGCACATATTCATGATCCCAACGCACCTGAACTGGTACACTTTATCTTCACACCTCTTAGTCTGATATATGAAGCTAGCAGGGACCCAGTACATGTTGGTGTAGATCTTGCCTCCAAAGCAGTATCACCATTGTTGACAAGGGAAGCCAAAGAGCTGTTATTGAACTGTTTGACCTCTAAAGAGTTAGAGCTATGGCAGCTGTTAGGCAGAAATTGGACCACATCAGAGTAGGATTTGTGTATTTTATAAGCACTTTTATCTACAAAAAAAAAAAAAAAAATATTTCTTTAATATATTAAATTGTTGTTACATCACAGAATGCTGATATTGCTAGCATTCTCACAGAATTTTTTTTTCAATAACATTTGTTATGAGCTGATTTATAACTTACCAACTAGATAAAACAGGACCAAATTTTAAAAGAAAGATATATGAATACTTAAAGTGACTGAAAATTTTTATGTATCAATTCAATTTGAAAAATGGTGAAATTTAATTTGTTTGAAAGCACTAATTGATAAGCCTTCGACAAAGTCTCATGTAGGGATAAATAAGATTAAGAGATAATTTATTCTTCATAGAAATGCTAAGTTTTAATCTTGCTGATGTCTGAGGTCATAGAACAGTATATTTTCAACTTTGATATGATCACATCAAATGATCATACTCATGACATGCAAAAACTTACATGAAAAAGTTATAATTTTGAAAGAAAGACAGGTCTTTTATATGTACTGCAATAATTTTACATTATTTTGTTATCATTACTAGTCATAGGTAACTAATCTGAGTTTTGCAACCTTTCCAGAGATGAATATCCAGGTCATGTGGAAGCATTCTGTCCAAGATTTTACAATGGTTGGACACCAGCACCTTCAGTATGTATTTTTAGAACAATGTAGAATTTATAGTAATCTTTATTATTACAGAGATGAGATGCAAAGCACTCAACGCAATCTATTCAAACCTACAATTGACAAAAGTCAGTTGGAACAGTCCCTAGCCAATCATAAACATCAGATAGAAGAAAACACACGAGCTGAAGAAGCTAGATTTCAGGTAGCAATGGTAACCTTCTGCTTCAGCTTTTGTGATTTGCTAGTTAATTTCTCAAGCAGATTCAGTTCTATCCTATGTTACTAATTATTTGTTGTAAGGGGAATCAGAACGTGAGAAATTCCTGAATCCTTATTGAAAAGAGTATTGATTATTTCATGCTTTCAAAAAATAGACTAGAAGATCTCATGTTGGTAGGCTAGTTTACTTGTTGGTGGCATAATAAGCATGAAGAACTTGATAGAGTTCTAGTCTGTCGCACAGGCAGTTGTGATAAGTATTTATCATTTATGGCTTTTCACCATATATTTGCAATACAAAGTCATGTTTTTTCAATTAATTAATTTGAAATCATTTCTTGTCAGAGTTTGTCTTAATTGGCACCAAAAATATATCTCAGCAGCCTATTTTGAAGTTTGTCAATATTTTAATTTAAATCTAAAACAATAAAAGGAAAAGAAATATCTAAATATCTGATACTGGTTTTCTTAAAAAATCTGACTTTGAATGGCATCAAAACAATTTATTGAAAAAATAAAATAAATTGAAATACACAAATACTTATGACCACTGGCCTCTGGTGTTTGTTTTTTTATATATATGTATTTATATATACAGATGTATGTATTTTTTTTCTTCTATATTATCATATTTAAACACATATTAGTAGTTAGAGCTGAAAAGTCTTTTCAGGTTTTATTGAAGGAATTGTAATTCATTGGGATTAATTCAGGGGAATATCACATGATTAATTTTTCTGTAATGAAAGCTTTTATCTAGGAACATAGGAACATACTTTTCATGATAATTAAGGATCTTATAACATTTTTAACCACCTCAATGGTCTCGTAGTAGAGTCTTTCCTCATATGAAGGGGTTGATGTGTTTGATGATCACAAGTCCTGTGAAACCAAAGACTTGAACTTTGTTTTTGCCGCTTTTCCACGAAGTACATGACATTTAGGAGTAAATCCTGGTCTGCTTGGATTCAGAATTATGTTTACAAGTAGGGTGACATGTCTTCTTGTGGAATGTTATCTTGTTAACTGACACGTTAAAAATTGGGCTCAGCGTGTCTTTCTAGTACAATCCAGAGGACAATATATAAATGATGGGGAAAAAAACTACTTAATGATTAAGTCAATATAAACTTCTACCAATGAAATGGGTGAATTTAGTCCAGGCATTATCTAAATTTCAGGCAAATGTTCTTCATCTTAGAATTTAAACTGTTGGTTATTGATGAGGTTATCTTGGAAAGACTTTTAAACCAATGAATGCTTTATGTAGATAGTAATAAGTTCTGATAGACATTCACAGTAAAATCTGTCTACAATTCACTCACAGTAGCTACTGTGAAAAAATAAACTTGTGATATGATACAGTAGTGTGATTTATGATTGTTAATCATGTTTATGATTGATTTTACTGTGTAATGTTTGTAATGTTATCAATATTCAGTAAATTAATGTTAAACATTGCTCTATTTAAGCTTTAGCAATAAGCAAAAAGAAAAGAAAAAAAAACATAAATAATCAGATATATATGAATAAGGATAACAAGAATTGTAATCAAGAAAATCTAGAATTTAATTTTGACATATATATTTATATAGATATTTTACCTAATTGGTTAAATAAGTCAGAAACCCTTGAAATGAACCTCTGTAGTAGCAACCTTCAAACACATTTGTTTGGAAATGATCTTAAATTATTAGTGAAAAATTATTCTGACACTGAAAAATACAGGGTTAAAATAATTAGATGACATTTTACTTGATAAAATTGAGAATGGAAACAAGATTACAATTTGCTCAAGATATATAAAAAAAGCTTTTGCAATTACTATGCAGATACACATGTTCCATTGGTCATTGCTTGTCAATAGATAGTCTGACATTAAATGTGTGTTTTGTTCTTTATCACTTAGTGTGCTGCTATAAGATTTGGCTATTTTAGTGTGGTAATTAAAGCTTGCCAATCTAGTCATGCTTTCATCAAAATTGTTGAAATCACTTTGCCTAAAATGGTCAGTTCATTACAACACTGGTAGATGAGCTGCCATGAATCATATTGGTTTTAAGGGGAGAACAAATATGTTTTGATCTATTCTATATATATTTATGAATTATTTTGGTATTTTTAGTCCCAGCAGATGATCAGGCAGTTACCTCCACCAAGAGAAGAGCCCAGGTTTGTATTTACATGGTTATTCTTGCACAACAGGATGTGAAAATTCTGACCCTCAGCACTTGACTTTAACAAGTAAAGTAAAGAAGACTATTTGCCCAATGCCTTTCTAATTAACTAAATGGATTAATTCTTAGAGATGTTATGGGCTTATCAAAATGTATGTAAATAAATACTGACAATATATTACAAACCAAAGAACACTTCAGTTAAAATGCTGTTAAACGAAAGAACACTTCAGTTAAAATGCTGTTAAACCCCAAAACACTTCAGCTAAAATGCTTTTAAACCAAAGAACACTTCAGTTAAAATGCTATTAAACCAAAGAACACTTCAGATAATATGCTGTTCTTTTTTATAGGTCTTCAAGATTTTGACATTTGTATTATGATATGGATGATAAGTTGTCAGTCTTCAGTAACAATGTTTTTACACAATAACTTTCTATTACCTGTGTTTATTTTCTATTTCATATGTCACGATGTACAATATTTGTAAAATATGTGAATTAAGCCAAATTACATGTCCAAGGCTTTAAAAAGAAAAGATCTTATTCTGTTTAGTTTAGGACCACCGTTGGATCTCCACAGCCCTTATTTGTTGTTTTTTTTAATAAGAGGAAAAAATATTGCTTTGGCAGATTTTTATTAATACATCAGTTTCTCAATACATGTAGCATGAAATGAATAATCATTGATTTTAATTGATTGCTCAGAATACTGTGAAATTTCAAACATTTTGAGTCAAGTTTGTTGTAGTCTAATATTGAGTAAAAAATCATGCTTATGCTATATAGTGTCAAAAATAACACTTGAACTGCCAGACTGATATAGTTTGAGACATGTTAAGATCAGAGCAAGAATTTTATGTAAAATATACAAATATAGCCTGTAATGAAAGTATTTCTATTTCATCATTCCATTAAGCAGAGTAATTCCCAAGTGATACTAGTGTCAACACTAAAATTTTGAATTTATGAATGATTACTTACAGAGATGATTATAGAGCTACAAAAGATGATTATAGAGCTACTAGAGATGATTATAGAGCTACAAAAGATGATTATAGATCTACAGCTTATGGTAGAACACTGCAGGAAGAACCTTCATACAGTCGAACTCGACGAGAGGAGGAGCCAAGCTACAATACAGGACCTATCGGAGCTTCTTCAAGGATTGGCCAGTCATTCAGACCAGAGGAAGATGATCATTATCGACGAGAACCAATGTATGACAGGAAACATCCATCTACCCCCCCTCCTGGTGCAGTCACTAACCCTAATGTAGCAAAGTACCAAGAATATGTTGAAAAACATATAGATAGGTGTGGTTATACTAACTTATAAAGTTCAATAGAAAATACTTGCAAGAAATGGATGAATTCTAATTAAAGTTGTTTAAATAAAAAACCAAATGCAATGAAATAAATAAACAAAATAATTTTTAACCTGTTTGAAATATTTTGTTTTTCTTAAGCCTTGTTAGCATCCTTGAAAATGTGATGCCTCAAACAATTTTGTATTAGATTTTTTTTAATTTAACAAAATGAGATAACGTAGATTTCACTAAAGTAGGATGAAAATGTGGGAATGACAGACTTATATTGTATAGTTAAACTTGATAATTTTCAAATGTTGAAATTATTTTTTTATCTTTTTACTATTTTATATATTTAAAGTACTTAAATCATTTCTTATAAGTATTTTCTGGGATGGAAAATGTTTAACAGATGTTTAATGGTTTAGAAATTTTCCAGAGATTTTATACATTGGCATATAGCTATTAAAGAAAAATGAAATAAATGAAATTTTGATATATATATCAAGTTCAACATTTTCCATACAATTATTGGATGATTAATTTCACTATTCTGAGGGGTCATTTCAAGCTCACAATGCTAATTAAATGGAGTAGAAAAATTCATTTTAGACTTTACATGTAGCTTTTTGTATACATGTAACTGTATCAAAATTTGTACCTTTTGGGCATTATGCTTACTGATAAGTTCGAAAGAGCCTTTGAAATGGTCTCAAAGAGATATATTCCTTTTTTCACAGGTCCATCCAAGTAATTTCTTATTAATGTATATATTTTTTTTTCAATTTCACTATAAATACAAATATAATCTTTCACAGTACTAGTTTTAATGGCTTGCAATGCTGACCTTTATAAATATAACTTTTTTGGTAGTGGATATTTAAGTTGTACAAAAATAACAACAGATAAGTAAAAAAGAATATGTATTCTTTAAATAGCACCATTGCAAATATATCACTGAAAAAGGCAACAGAAATGACACATCACCCTTTAATTTATTGATAGCTGCCCTATATTATTTGTCAATAACATTTGCAGTGGTTATCAGTGATATCAAAGCCTGTTTCCGAATTTGGAAGTGAAAAATAAAGGATTTTCATTATGCTGTAAACTGTCAAAAGTTCATAAGAAAAGTAAATTTTCAATAAAGATTTAATGATTCTGAAATAACAGGAAAAATGTGTGTGTCCTTATGCTACAAGTGTAGCCATTTTCAACCATTTTTGTGATTTTCATTTTGTGAATTTTAAGTGATGATAAACATCAAAACATATCCCATTATTGTGAAACTGTTAGGAGGCCTCAATGACAGAGTGGTCTAAGTATTTCATCTTCAGTGATCACTACTAATCTAGCCTGTCAACACTGAGGTAGTGAGTTTGAAGCATGCTCACAGCCAAAATGCACTTGACTTGGATCTTAATTAACTAGGATTGCCAGTTGTCAAAGTCTCTGGTTAAACACCAACCATCAATCAATGAAAACTATTATCTGTTGTCTTTGTTATTGCCAAATAATACTCTATATCTTGTACTAAAACATTGATTAACCTTTTCTAAAACCAATATGAATTTCACTTACTAAAAGAAAATTACTTAGAATCTATTTTCCCATTGCATGAACATATTTATATGAACTACTCTAAGATATATATATATTAATATGAATATTTAATTGGCATGGCCATTATTTAAAAGCATGTGATGTGAAGTATTTTTAGAAGTCTAATTTGCCAAGATTGAGAGTTTTCCATACTGCAAAAAACATTAAGCAAGTTTGAAAACTTTTTCTTCATTACTACTGTCAGGAAGATATGTTTCTTAAATTGAAGATAGAAATGACGGAATTAGATGGTTTCAAATTTGGATAGATTTTATTTAACAAATTGCACATCATAACAATATTACAATACAGTATTTTTAGTGTCTTGAATGTTTCAACAGTTATGAGCTTGTTAAAATTTGATACTAAAATGTTAAGGATACTTATTCCTGATGTTTTGTCTTAACCCAGTGAATAAATTTATTAGTCTCATATAATTGAAAACTGAACTCTGACACTCACTATTGTAATTTAATTGTATGATCATACAAATCTATCATCTAATATTTTTGTCATACAGAAATCAAGATGCACATAGATATCCCGGTACTAAGTCTAGAGGACAAGAAAACCAGGAATATAAAGAAGAATTAAGGAGGAAAAATGCTAAGTAAGTTATTCAAAATAATATATATTGTGGATTCATTTTTTTCATGGATACCAATTTTCGTTGATTGAGAAGATCATAGTGTCTTGGATATTTAAATTCAAGGATTTACCAAAGTCTGTATACAATGCCTTTAGAAAATATGAACTTAGTTGGAGATTTAAATTTCAATTTCATGGTTTACCTATACCCATGAAATCCACGAAAAATGGTATCCCAGGAATAATAAAAAACTCACAGTATTCTCTTAAGAGAATCTTTGTTCAAGCTAGACTGAGAATTGAATTTGTCAAATTTTAGTATTTGAAATGGAATCATGAAGGCTGTTTTATTTTAAAATGATACAAGTTATGCAGGAAGGAATTTTAAAAATGGGATAACCACTTAAAAAAGCCAATTTTATAAGTTTAGTCGATTAAAACCCAACAATAGACATAAAACCCCAAATTACATGATTTTAAACAGTATACAAATATGAAACTTTGAACAATAAATACCACCAGAAGTGACATCTAGTGGTCAAAATACAATCACCAACAGTAAAAAGCTCTGAATTGCAGCCCAAACTAAAAAATTGCTATTGAACATAAGACTACCAAGGATCTGCAAACAATCAAAATAATTTATACAACAAAAGATGCTAAGACATAACAATGGACAAATACTGACAAGGCTCTGTATTTCTATATGTATTGGGATTAATTTTAAAAAATTTTTTTAAACATATTCAAGTTGTTAATATATTTGAATATATTGCTAAAGCACATTTTTGTTCTCACTATGTTAGATTAGAATTATATTAAATTATTTTTTTATAAGCATTAAAACAAATTATATTTATATGATAAATGAACACTATATTGTAGAATATATGAAGCTGTTCACGAAAGAACAGGTAGAAATCAAAAGGAAATAACAGTAGAAAAAGGAGATATATTAGAGGTAAGTCATTATGTGTAGATTTTGTGAAGACATTTAGATAGAAACCAAATAAAGGTACTTTTCAATTAGTCTGAAATACTTATCTCAAGTTTTTGTAAATTTACATGTTGGAACCCAATGAGTACCATGTAGAAATCTGTATCCTTGCAAACACTTTTCTAATATCTTTAGACGAATCAACTGTAAGCCAAATATATTTATTTGATGTATAATATTTCTAGCCTTATATTCTGAAGGGGAGATAAAAAAGTTAATATATATTTAATTGGATTGAGCAAGGATATTATATAATGAGCTGACTCATAGTATCTTTAGTATATCCTTTGATCTGTATTATTTTGGGGGTTTTACCTTGCAAATAGCCCTAATATAACCTTGTGAATTTTTCAGTGTAAAGCAACATCAATAACACACTGCAAAATACAGTATTCATCATTCCTACGTAGTGCAGATAGACAATAGAAAAATTCAGTTTTCGGAAACAAAATGGCAAGCAACACATATCTCCGATTGAAGTCACTTATCTAAGCTTTACTTTGTAAACATGCTTGTTTTAATCGTTTCTTTTTTAAGGATTTCAGAAATTCTGTTGGAACAAGTTTTTGAGAAATGATTTATTTTAGGTATTAGACGATAGCAGAAATTGGTGGAGGTTACGAAACTACAAAGGTGACTCTGGATATGCCCCATATACAATTCTACGAGATGCTGGTGATGATCGTAACGATATTGATCGGGTAAGGATTTAATTTATAAGTGTTTTAATGTGAGTTTACTTGGCAGAAGTACTGTTCAGATATTCCTGAATATCAAGTCTGTTTGAAGATGCAACAGGTTTTGGGAAGTTTTCGTTGCTCACATGGTGTAGGTGGAATTATTATTGAATAAAAAACATCTAAAACTGAAACAAATGTATTTTGTATTTTCTTGCAGACTAATTATTCAGAAATATTGATTTAATTGCTATTAAAATGTTGTGTTCTTTTTTACTTAAAAGACCTGAATTTAAATAATTCAATAACAAAAACTAGTGGTATTTATTAAGACAAGATAATAAAATTATTCCTTTTTTTTCATTTCCCGAGATATAACATCAAAATAAATATTAAATTTTAATTGCAATCCATGTAGATGGAAATGAAATATTTCATTTGTAAAAAACATCGATTGATCTTATGTGTTAAAAAATTAGAACGCAATACTATAATTTGAAAATAGCAATAAAATTGGCTTATTTTATGTCATATTGTTGATAATACAACATAATTAAAGAAATTTTAAGTTTTATTGTTTTAAAGATATATTTGAATAGAATTACAAGTTAGGTCAAACTTTGACTTCATACTTTAGATTTAATTTTGACATAAAGTTAGCCTTCTTGTGTACATTTTTTCTTTCACAAAATAAAATTCAATACTGCACTTGATTTGTCTAAAATATATAACAATGTATTCTACTATTAGGCTTTTTACAAGATAGCCTTCCATATTTATTTTTATATTAACTTTCTGAGATTGAAAATTTTGTACAGAATTTTAAACAATTCTTTTTTAAGTAAAAAGTTTTTTTTTTCTTCCTGATAATAAAAAACATCTATACTTTTTGTGTGTATAGGATGTCAAAGAATAGAAGGTTTTTGTTTTGGCTGTTGGACAGTTGCTACGGGTGGCAAAATATTATGCTTTTTGCTAAATATATATGTTTTAATTACAGGTAATTGTTCCTTGATGTCAATTTTGCAGTTAAACATAACATTTTGCCACCCTTACATACTGGACTAAGTTTTTTTTTCTTCACCAATATTTTATTCAAAAGAAGTATTGCTTTATGTCAAAAGACTTGATTACAGAGACATTTTGTTCTAATGATTTTTTTTCTTTAAAGCATAATGCTTTTGATAATGCCTTGGTCTTTATCTTTTAGAAAAAAACAAATCTGCTTTATGCCAAAGAATCAACAGAAAAGCAAATTGCTTTATGTCAGTTTAGCTTATTTAATATTTTCTATTCATGTTGTGTTGATTCCTAACAGGGTTTCAGAGGCACCCGACAACAATAGTGTCTGTAGCAGTTAGCTCCCTTTATTAAATTGATGAGTAAGATCCAAGTATCAGCAGGCTATGTTTAATTAATATTCACATAGCTGATTCTGCTTATTCGTACCATTGTATACTATAGCTTCCTTGTTTAACTGCTCAACACAAGCTTTAATATCATTTGGAATGTTTCACTTATTATCAAGTAAAATTCATTTTCATGTGTAACCAAAAGTTTGGAACAAAGTTATTATGAAGTATAAGCATATTGAAATAAAGTTAAATAATACCACCAAAAAGGCTTATTTTGAATATTTTTAGATTGTTTAACAGACCAAATCTTTTACTTAGTACTACAAGGAGAGGGTATGATAAAGTTACTTTTTTGACCCTGAAATTCAATAATAAAAAAGTTTTATAGCAGTTAGCTTCCTTTATTAAATCTATAAAATTACATCTTTCAGATTATCATACATGTTTTGAAAGGCTTGAAGAACTATACAATTTTTGCAATTTCAGGAAACAAATAATGGCTTATATCATACCCCATCCTTTTTCATTTTGAAATGGTACACATGAAAATAATCAGACAAAATTATGCCATATCAGGGAAAAAACACAGAATTAACAAAAGCTTGTATTTTATTACCACAGAATGTAGATTGAAATTTTAGTTCTTCTCTGTAAGTTGCTTTGTGGTTTTTTGTTTTTTTTTATTATGGTCATTATTATATATTCTATTTTGTATGCTCTTTTTTAAATTCCCTTTGTTTTTTTATTATGCGTATCAGGGAATTTTAATATGTCCTGTTATTTTTCCACAAAATGAAATTTAAACATTATTAGGAAGTAAATGCTCTCTATGAATTGACCAATTAAGAAGTCCAAGTTCTGTCCATGTAAATGGCATCTGGACCAATCAGAATGTTGAAAATGGTTATGTTCCTGTAAATGGCATCTGGACCATTTAGATTGTCCAAAACTGTCATGTTCCCATAATGCAATAGTATTTCTGAATTATTTCACTCGTTAAATTTTTGCTTATTTACAATAGAAGATAAACAAATTTCCTGGTATGCAATAACTCTATTCCACATAGAAATTTGTATTGAATTTTGACTATGGTTGGTTTTATATTACCAGAATGTGAGAGATACTTTTATGGATATGACCTATTTGGTAAATCACAGTGGATTCTTTTTCAGAGTTCATTCTAATCAAAACTAAAGATATTGGAAGTTGAGGCTTTGGTTGTGTTTGTAACTGTTGTTGCTAAAATTGTAAAAACTTCTTTTAAATCCTAGTTACATTTATGTAATTTTTTGTGAAACTTCCAGTGTCTATGCTTAATGTAGTTTTAGGATTCTGTCTTTAAAATCTGATTTTTAGGATACCACAGTTGAATGTGTGATAACTTTTGTAGCAGAAACACTTTTAATAGATCTGTTTTACTTATTCAAAAATAATAACACAAACTGTAAATTAAGATTCTACTTTATGTGACTCATAGTTTGTTTAATGTTTTCTCTAATTAGATTTCACCTGTTATTAAAATCTGTTTTTAAGATCATGTTAATAAATGGTATGGGAACAATCTAAATAAGTAACTTGGGGGTTTAAAAGAGCTATTGTTATCCTCAGTAGAATATATTTTGGTGCTAATATGAAAGTTGAAATGCAATACATTTTTCATGTTTTCATTGATTCAGAGTTATAAATCTTTTTTTTTTGTACAATTTTTGCAGTATATCTTACCAAGAACCCTACAAGTAGCCCCACACTGATTTAGAAAATTAAAACAAGTAAATTGCATTTTACATGGGGATTTATATATATATTGTATGGTGCTTTTATATTCAATAATTTTGGAATCTTGTAAGTTCCATCACCTTTATAAAGAAATATTTTTATTAATAGTTAAATAAGGCAAACAAAATTATAGTAAAAATTGTCTTTAAAAATAATTGCCTAGGAAATACTGTTACCTCAAAGATAGAAAATAAGAATTCCTTGAAAAGTAGATTTCTGCCTAAGTTAGTTTGATAGGAACTACTTGTGATAGATCATTGATATTTTGTATGAAGATGCATTACTATCAGTACATATCAGTTTGACGACAATTTTGAAGCCCTGCCCCCAAGGCCATGGTCCAGTGACTGATTTAATTAGCCTTTTTTAATGTTAAGTTTGCTGCTTAAGTTAGATTGATAGGAACTACTGGAGATAGATCAATGGTATTTTGTGTGAAGTTGCATTACTATCAGTACATATCAGTTTGACAACTATTTTGGGGCCCTGCCCCCTAGGCCATGGTCCAGTGACTTTCAATTAATAAGTAATTTTAAATGTTAAGTTTTCTGCTTAAGTTAGATTGATAGGAACTACTGGTGATAGATCAATAGTATTATGTGTGGAGTTGCATTACTATCAGTACATATCAGTTTGACAACTATTTTGAAGCCCTGCCCCCTGAGCCATGGTTCAGTGACTTTCAATTAATAAGTAATTTTCAATGATAAAATTTCTGCTTAAATTAGTTTGATATGAACTACTTGTGATCAATCAATGATATTTTCTATAAAGTTGCATTGCTATCAGTACATATCATGTTGACGACTATTTCAAGGCCCTGCCCCCTAGGTCATGGTCCAGTAACTTTCAATCAACAATTTTCAATGTTAAGTTTTCTGTTTAAGTTAGTTTGATAGGAACTACTTAACAATAGACAATATTTTCTATAAAGCTACATTGTTGTCTTTACATCTCAGTTTGTCAACCATTTGAGGCCCTAAACACTAGTTGGTCCAGCGAATTTGAATTAATTAGCAATGTTGCTGTCCATCAGATTGTTTTTATCTGAATTTTATGCCAACAGGCGAGACATATCTCTGTGTCAACAGTTTATTCAGTTAAGTTTCTTGATTGATTGATTGGTGTTTTAACGTCAGCACACTTGGCTTAAACATGACGGACATTTTTATCAAGCGTTGAAGCCAAAGAGAACCCTAAATCTTTGGCAAGAAAACAGTGAATCCTAGTCAATTAAGATCAGAGTCAAATGCACCTTGCCCCAAGCTGGGTTCAAACTTGACAGGTCATTTAAATTGAAGTAATTTGAATTGTTCAATGTTATAATAGAATATATATAGGCGATATTCATTCCCATATGCACACAAATATTCATTGCATAACTTTGTGTAAACAATTTTATTATTTGATAGGATTTTGTTTTATTTTTGAGAATTAATACATTTTGAAATATTTTTTGGCTTCTCCTGTTTGCTGTAGAAAATTTAATTTTATTATTTTTGTTCATTCTGATGGAACTTAATTAGAAGAGCATGTATATGTACCTTAAAACATATCTATACGGATTACTTCTTGATCTAAGTGGTAGATTTTTCTCTATTTATAACCATGTTTCAAATATAACTAATCATGTGAAAAGGTATATATATGTCTATACATAATGGAATGTTCAAAGCCATAAAATGGAAAAACCCAATTGATTTTAATATACAGACTCATTTTTTTTCCTGACTATAATCCTACCTCTATAATATTTTTCATTTCACTTTATTTTCTTTGTAATTCAGTTTCTATGAAGCTACTAAGGTATTTTGAGTTGCTGTCTTAACTAATATATATATTTTGTGGTTTGGGTTACTTATATAAGCATGTAAAACACTGCACATACTAAATATTTACTAATAGTCAGAACTGTATAAAATGCACTTGTTTTTTGATTGGACATTTATTCATAGATTTTAGAGATGCTTCTTAATTATATAGTTAAATTTGTTACGAAAAGTTTAGCAGGTGTTATATTTGCACATATTACAAATGACTATTGGAACAGATTTTTTTTATTTTTCCGTTTTGCTGAAATTCTCAAGAGTTTTAGACAATACATTCATGAATTTCCCTTACAAAAAATAATGAATTTTAAGAAAATGTCTCAATCATAAAATAAAATGTGCTAGTAAAGCAAAGAATTGAGAAAATGTAATGTTTTAAGATGTATGTTGCATGGCAAGGTATTAAGGTGTCATGCAAGGTCAAACTATATTTTGGTAACATGTACCAAATATTTAGTTGTGAATAAGATAAATCAGAATTTGTTGCTTCTCTGTTAAGTGTCTTTATGATGTCATTTACCTGATATTGAACAAGCCAATTGGTACCTTGTCAAATCTTGGTATAATCTTATTGTCAAACTCTTTTAATTATTTTAAGAGCTGATCAGATGGAAGAGGACTAAAACAATCCAACATTTTGTATATAAATGTCTTATACCCAAGAGTTTCTGACTGGCTAATGTTAGTTTTCCATGTTCTCATTATTTCAAAGGAGGTAACTTTTTCAGAGGGGAAGAATATTACTCTAACAGTAGATAATACATAGCTGTTTTGAGAAGGGACATGTCAATTTGAAACACTGCACTAAACTTTTACCCCATTTTCAATATTGCATGATCCAAGATATTGAATCAATTTTATGGAGATTAGACCAGTTTATCTTTGCATCTCCAACAGTGGCCACCTGATCTTGGCTACAATTCATCAGGTCTTAAGAATGTATATCTGATGCCCCATTTTAGATGCAAAAGAATCCTTGCCAACATTTGATATTGTAAGTATCAATCATCCCCAATCTATCCAGTGGACATCCTAATTTCTTCAATCACTATACACAGTTATACAACTAGGTTAGGATCATGCGGTCTACATTGTCTGTTTCACAGTGGTCACCTGAACTTAGCCTCATTCTTAAGGTTCAACAATTTACTTGAAATGGTCTGTTATTGAGTTTTAAATAATTGAATAACAAGACTTGGAACATATATTTCATGTGTGACAGGGGTTATCTGACCTTGGTTTAGTAATTCACTTTTCATCTTCATGTTATGGTCTTGATATCCAGTTACTAAATGCAGAGTTTTATCATACATTTGTTGTCGCGTTCATGTTTGGAGGGATTTGATAAAATTAATAGAAATAAATATCTATTTTTCAAGTTATGTTATAGTGACTAGAAAAGTGCACATACTCTGGTAAATGACATTATAAAGTTTCATTAATATGACAGATTTAAAAAGAATATCTAATTCAGCATGGAGATAGCGGACAATATTTATCAGTGTTATGGAGCCATTGCTTTAACATTGTCATAGTTATGCAGCTGCATTTTGGATTTTTGATTTAATTTAAATACTTTACTATATTGTGGTATAAACAAGATATTTTCTGTAATGTTTATGTTTATTTAATTATGGATAATATTTAATTTGGAATTTAGAGGAACTATGGAAATTAGAAATACATCATATTGAAAAGAAAAGAATTTTTTTTATTCCAAAAACATGATTGGAAATTTATCCTTTACCATGTCAAAAAATATATGTGAGTAAACTTGAGTAAAAACAACTAGTTAAAGAGCAAAGATGGTAGCGCTGGTAGATTTTTAGAAGACTGCATTTGATGTCCTCTTTTTTTTTGTATCGATAACAATATTTGTTCAGATATCTTTTGATTTATTTGTAATTTAATACAAAATGTTTTAATGATTTCAGAATGGTGGTAGAAGAGGATCTATTGGTGGATATAGTGGAAACATTAACCAATCAAATCACATCCCTGTTGCACCTCCACCGCCACGCAAAGGTGATTACTTTTGAAAACATTCCACATTTTATTAATGCAATGGACATACTTTTCAGGTTACCTGGATATCAGTTGCATATAGTTATCTTCAAGGGTGTATGTTCCTTCTTGACAACTTCAGTTTCAATATTCTGAAGAAAAACTAAACTTAATGTTAAATTTAAAGTTGTGAAAGAATTTTTCTACAATTTAGAAATATAACTTATTTTTATTTGATATATTACTGTTAAGTGAAAGAAATTAAGTGATAAAAACAATCAATTCATGTCATAGAAATCTACAAGACTAATTATACCATAAAGGTATCCTGATAACTATTTAATTATTTTGTGTCAGTATCTTGAAAGTTTCATTGCTCCCCTACTTTTCCTTTTAACTCAATACAGAGTAAAATCTTTAGATTGCATAAATAGTAAAATTTAATATTTTTTTTAAACACCATTTATATGTTTATATATTTTTTGTTATATTTTATATCAAAATCAAAATTCTTTATTTATTTTGTATACAAGATGTAAGCTTTATTTTTCCATAAAAGGCATAATAATATTCTTATAAATATCTCCTAACAATTTTCAATAACCGTAGCATTTAAGTACGCAAGCACTAACTACCATTAGAGAAATTCTATCAATGGGATAGATTTCAACTATAAAACAAATACTAAATCATGTTTATGATTTATTTAAAATCAAATCATGGTTATGATCATATAGAAGTCCATATACAATCTATAAATATTACATATCATTTATATAGATATTTGTAAACAGATACTGCTGTGACGTATTGATTAAGATTAAGTAATATAAACATATCATTGTTAAAAGTGTGTGTTCAGATGTAATCATGACTCATTAACCAAGTGTACATATTCTTAATGTTCACTTTCGATAGATAGAATAGGATGTAGATCGTTCCCCCGGATGTAAGAGAAATTGATTTATGATATAATTTATTCAAAAGGATGATTATTTTTTTATGGAATAACATTTGAATAGAATTATTTAGATATTGAGAAATGAGAAAAACTTAAATTATTAAAAAATGTATAAGAATGTCTATTTAGTGATTGAGTTTAAAGATATAAATGAATGCTATTGCACTTGCGTAAGATCTGAACATTATTCCAATTTGAATATTACTTTTACCTAAAAGTAGAAATTTATCCATCTGTTGAGTACTTGACTTTATGTTCATACCAATACTACTTATAGTGTTTTTTTTAAGAGTACAACCCAAAATGTATTGATCTACTGAAACCGAGTAGGGTAAAATATTATAAAAGACACAAATTTAATTTAGACTACCTCTTGGACAAATTAGTGGAGTGCTATTGAAAAATGGAGCAAATTGCATAAAAAAAAAAAAAAAAATTATTATAACATGTTAAAAGGATATACTGTAAATAAACATGAAATTATAATGTATTACATTCTTGACATAGAAAGCATCCTAAGTGAGGGATTTGATAGTGCTAATGTTATAGTAATAATAGCCGCAGCAAATTATCATGATTTTATAAAAAATTAAGATAGTACAAGTTTATACTGTGTCTATAATTTCCAATTTATAACACAAAATGATTATATCGGACATTGTAATTATTGTAATAATTACTCCAACGAGGGTTACAGGGATTCTCACACACTGTGATATTTTTGTTAGTAGTTCTGTTTGAGATTTAGATGATTTTTATATAGTTGTCTGTTATTCAGAAATCATTTGTACATTTTTCATTGGAAGAAATATTGATTTTGATGTTTCTAGAAAAGTTTGATGAATATGAGATTCTCATATTTATTTGGCTTTGAGATAAATACTTTTTGATAAAGTATAAGAAATAAAGATTTAAATAAATATTAAGACAAGTGTTTGAAGAAGATTAACGGTTTCTTACAAAATTGTTAATTGCATGTGATTGTAACATTATTTTTTTTTAAACACCCAAAGAATAAACCAAATTCCAATCAAGTAAACTGAATCTTTCCAAAGATGAAAAGTTATATATATATATATATATATATATATATGAACCCGTTTGTATATATGTATTTGTCTTTATAGATATTAATATATGCATATTCATATTATATAACAAAATATAATATTATTGTTAAATTTGCACAACCAGATTGAGCAAAACAAGAGTTTATTAATTTGTGAAGGTTGGTGAAGAGGATATGTTTGAGATACCCCATAAGTTATTGAGTCTTTTTGATAAAACTCCCTAGATAGAAGTCATTGACGGTTGATGTGTGATGCCCTATAGGTCATTAAGACTTATTAGTGAAATTCAATAAGTCATGGATTCAAACTTCCACACAAAAATGCAAAGGAAAAATTTTAATGATCTATTTCAATTGGAGCTTATTATAGATTTCTTTTTAAAAGTTTTTTTTTTCAGATATACTAACTGTTGTACACTGTAAAAATTCTTGCACCGATATAGTTTTCCCTCTGTATTCTCCAAATTTTACATAATTTAGTTTTCCTTTAAGAAAGGAACTAATAATTGTACTGTATATATATATACACCACTGGGTATTTGGCCAGTTATACACTTGGGTTTGTAGATGACATACTAACAATACCTTTAAATTCCAGTACTAATTAACAGAATAACAAAATTTCCGAAATTTGTATATTTTGGTTTATATATTGTCTTACAAGTATGAATTTGTGAAGTAAATATACTTTGGAAATATATTTAAAGGACAAAACTTTATGTTGATATGCTCTCATCAGTTTGACTACATTAAAAAAAAAAAAAAAAAAAAATTGAAACAAAAATTTTGTCCTTCTACATACAGTTTCAAATTATAGCACTTTTTGTCCTTTACTAATATTAAACATATATAACAACCAATTACAGCAAATTTGTATGTAATATCATGTCTGATAGTTCTTAAAAGAATTGTTCTGTTAGAATTATTGCAAGAATATTAGACATGATTAAACTATGAGTGTGACAACATAATTTATCTTTTACTCATCAAAAGAAATAGAGATATTATTGAAACATTTTTGTTTGGCACTTGACAGAGAAAATTAGTAAGAATATGATGTCAGAAACATCATAATTTTAGTGCTGCATTGGTCACAAAAGAGATTGGTTGTCACATTCGTAGATGGCAAGGAAACTACCTCAAAAACACAGAGGCTGTTGCATATCATTTAACGTTTTATTTTTTATTGCATTATTGCATTATTTACATTTTCTATAAAAGAATGGAAAAAAAATGATCAAAGTATTGCCTAACTAATCAAGTTGTGAATAACATGTAATATGTTTCATTGAACGTATCTTGAGAAAATATTTTATACAACAGCCTCTTATTTGCATGTCACACAATATACACTTTAGACAATTGCTTGCAATATTTCATGTCATTTCTGTAATGATCTAAAAAGTGTATTAGACAATGTTAGATATTACAGAATTGACCTTCTTTAGCATTAAATAATAATACATATACTATATTCTTTACTGTTTATTAACCTTTCTGGATGATTTCATGCACCTCTTTAATCTTTATTAACATTGGAAATGGGTAATGCACTATTTTAGTGATCTTACTTGCACAGATATATTTACATATACATTGTATATGGTTAATGTTTTACAAAATAAAATAATTTAGTCTTGACTTCTATTCATAGCAGATTTAGATATTGGCATCAAATTTTAGCTTACATGTTACAAATAAAACTTGGTAGACAACAGTAAACGGTTACATTTATGCATATTATTTAAAGAACCTATTAACAGACTTATATGCAAGCATTTAGAAAAGATTCAGCATAAAATTTTAATTTCTCTGCTCTTTCAGTTTGATAAATTATGCATGCTTACTGTCCCTATTCTGGTTATGCCATTTCCTGCCAGTTACAAAGACTTATGGGATATATTACCCAGCATTCCTCTTCACTTTCCTGTGAATTATTGCTGTAAATGGTTGTGAAATGTTATTGTATATTTATTTCACACTTATTCATATATTTGTAATACATTATTTTACCATGAATTAAAATATAATATGTATGGAATAAACATGTTTTATAGTTCTTTTTCATAAGCCATTGGAAGAGATGTTGATTATAAACATTTCCTAGATAAAGTTTCTCATAAAACTTTGTTGATGTGACAAAGACATCATGTGTGCCTTTACTTGTTTGCTGTGGTATGGTAAGAGATGCTATGGTTGGATGAATTATAATACTCTTGCTCTGAAGGAGGGGATTATACTGGTTTACTTTCCCCATAAAATTTTTGTCTAGAAGTACTAATTACAGCATCCTGAAATTTGGTAGCAAGTTTCATGTGGGCATTCTTTACAGTGTGGTGCATTTTTATATTTATCGCTCATCACATTCCTGTTAACCAAACACTTATGTATTCATACATTTAATGGTCATTGAAATTTTGTTGTATTTTCTCTTGAACTATAAATCCGAACTTCCTGAAAGTAGGTATCAAGCTTCATTTGAGTAATGTTACACTGTTTCATGTGTTTTCACATCAATTGCTTATCAACTTCATGTTTACTGAATACTTATAGCAAAGATATAATACTGACCAGTTATCACATTATAACTTATTTCATTCCCTTGGAAACAAAGTTATTGGAGAGTATATATATATATATATATATATAGGAATCACTCTGTCTGTCCATCTGCCTTCTGTCTGTCTGTCTGTCAATGTGACTTGTAAGTGAAACTCCTAAATGGCAAGGATATTGATGAAACATTCCTAATTCCTAAATGTAAGACATTACCTGAAATGTGGTTATGGCTAAAGGATTATAATCCCAGTCCTACAGGTCAAAGGGGAGATAATCAGATACATTTACTTCAATATTACAATACTGTAAATTCAGAAATTATAGCGTGCATTTATTATTGCGAAAAATGTCCGATAAATTATTGCGATTTCAGGAAAAGCTGCATTTAGAAATATGTATCAGATATCGGAATGTGAGTTCTCATTTATACTG